CTGAGATTGCGCCGTTGCACTCCAGCCTGGGCAACAAGAGCAAGACTTTGTCTCAAAAAAAAAAAAAAAAGTCTAGACAGGCACTCCTCTGGGTTTTGCTAGTCTTGAGGTAAGGATAGTTTTAGGGGTCCTCCTCAGAAGGCCCACTGACGAAAGACAGGAGTAATAAACAGGATATATGATGAGAGTAGGATAAAGAGGGCCATGCTGTCTTTCAGTGTGAAGCAATTTCCAGAAACAGCTAGAATGAGTCCTAAAACAATTACAACCAGAAGCTGCATGTGAACCCCATGACCTGTGATTACAGAATAAAATGCATCTTAGCCCTGGGGCACTTTTCTCTACCTACCTCATCAGGCAGGTCAGATGCCCAAATGGCACTCTTGCCAAGACATTAACAAAAAGTTATTTTTTGTTAGATTTATTCCACCAATTGTTACTCAATATAAACAGGCTCAAATATTAAAAGTGATTATTCCAACTAAAAGCCAGAATGAAAACACAAATGAAAAGTGGGAGCAAGTCATCCTCCCAATTACCACGCCTCAGGGTCTCCCCATCTCCTGATCTGGCTTATAAGATCCTCTCCCACCCTGGCTTCCCATTCTGTTTCCTCTGCCTCCATCCACTTACCACTACTCATGTGGACGGAGGTAAAAATAGCCTATTTTTCACTGCACACAACCAGGCCATTTTGGCCTTCCATGTACTGACATATACTATTCTAATACTCTCTTTCCCTATAATCACCTGGCTAGCTCCTTCCCACTCATCCTTCAAGCCTCAGACCAGGTGTCACCTTCTTCAGGAAGATTTTCCTAATTTCCGCTATGTTGTGTAGCGCCTCCTGCCCTGGGATCCCCTAGCACCTTGGGTATACTCCATTCAGAGTTCTCGCTACTTTGTATAGAATACTTGGTCATTAACTGCCTCCCCTCTAGCCTTGAGTTCAAGGGCAGCCACCATGTTTATTCGTGTGTGTAGCCATACTTAAGAAATGTTTGCTGAATGGAAATGCAAATGCAAACCTTTTACAAACAAATTGGGTTTAAAATGATACTGGAATAACTGTATTCAACATTCAGGTCATGAGCTAATAGGTGCACTGAGAGAAGATCTGAGGACAGTCCAATTCAGAAAAAAACCGCAATGAGCATTGAGAAACTGGATGCCTTTCAATGACTGTACTGTACTTTACAAGTCACTTTTTATTATGTGGAATAAAGAGCAGAAAACGGAGAAGCCAAGTTTCATACGCACAAATTCACCTATTAAAAAGTTCAAATTAAGTGACCTTTTCTTTCACTCATTTCTTCAAATATATTAAGCCTGTAAAAACAGGCTTCCTCCTCCTCTCAATCTAAGGAAATGCTAAGGAAACAGAACCAAGATCAAATGGGCTTTTACTGACATATGCTTATTTTGGCTAAAAATCTTTTAAGAAAATCGGCAGTTGTAAAATATGTCTTAAAATGGAGAACTTTAAAGAAAAGCCCCATGCTTGTGAAAGAAGTATCCCTTTTGCAGTATCGGACTAGTTTGTACACAGTGAACTGCCTGCAGTGAATTAGATGGTGCTTCCTTTTCTGCAGAAGGATTACAAGAGTCTCCCCCTACGGTCAGAGCCAAAATAGGCTCTTTCGAGTGTCACTATCAATAACCAATTCAATTCAATCGATTGATGACACTGTGAACATTATGAAAAAAAGAAAACTTGGAACTTCCTTACTACATTTCTAGAAATGTCTAAGACCCTTTTCTTTCAATAATACAATGAACTAATAAAATGTTGGATATTTTAGATTGAAAAAAGAATCACAAAACTGTACAGCAATACGAACAACCTGGTATCAATGTGTAATAAACAGGGATACTTAGAAAAGTTATCAGATAACACTGTTAAAGATATGTAACTCTTGTAAAACTCGATTTCATTTCATCCATGACAAAAGGTCCCAAAGCAAAGAATGGCTGTGCCTGAGACTAGTCTGTAGTTATTTTAAGTATTAACTCTTAAAAACTTTCACCTACATGTGTCACAAGACTTTCCTTTCATTGCCCTCTCTTTTCCAGCATTTTAATTTTTTGGTGCTTCCAATCTAGTTTACATCATGCACAGTCATTACTGATCCACAGACTTAGTATTTAATATCAACATTTGGCATCGAATTTTTTTTTAAAGATGTCATACTATTATTAACAAAACCATCTTGCCAGCAATTTTAAACCCACCAGTAATTCAAATATTTGCAAAACATGACTTTAGAGGTATCTAGGGCTATATATAGAAAACCCAAGAGTGAAATGGAAGCTGGAGCCACCCTCAAGACAGAGAAGATAATATAATTTCTTTCCTTTATCGTGGTTATAACTTTTGCACTCTCAGAATTTGCCTGGAATAGCACTGGTGGCTTACCTTGTGTTTGGTTTCAGATTTTCTACTGTGGAAAAGGTCTGATTGGTAATTTGAATGGACTTGTTCTTCCCACTGAATGACCCATTTTCTCTGGATATAACTTCATATTCTGTAAAGCGAAAAAAGCCAACAGATACTTGTCTTTATTTCTTGGTTGATTTAATTGCTCCTGAAGCTATTAGCATAAAAAAGCCACTCACATAAAGTGAGCAATTGAGATTGAAGTTCTAGAGACATATTGATCTTACACATTGGCAATTTTCATATGGGGATGGTCAGCAGATGAAGGTTCCAGAAGCATTTTAGGATTTGCTCATTGACCATTTCTGCATTTCCTTTACCAGAGGCAAAGGAAGGGCCTGGTAACTGGTGAAGACCCATGCCATGCCTGTGGTTGCTTTGGAGACATAGCCTTTGGTTTTGTTAGGTGAGTCAGATAGTCTGCCGCTGCTACAAAGCCCCATTTGGGGAAAGCACTGTATGAAGAGTGGTGCCTGAGTAGACATGTTCTCTGCTCTACAGGCTTTAGAATATAGTTGGGGGAAAGGCTACTGGATACATGGTACTGCTGCAGAAAACTTTGAGTTGAGCATCACAGCAGCAAATAGCAGCTAATCAAATAATAAACTCTACTTTTCATTATTTTGAACTATAGGAGTATTTTGAACAATAGTTCATTATTTTGAACTATAGGAGTAGTGGGTTTTTGTACCCACTGCCTACATAAGTTATGCTTCCTTGATTATTTTCCTTGCATTGAAAAACAAAATACTATCCTTAAAGTCTGCATAGAGGTCTGCCTAAATTTCACTTAAAGGCACATTTCTATGAACTTGCAGGGCTCATCAAAAGGGAAAGAAATTTAGAATAAGAGAATGCCATTCACACATTTGTTCATTGGACTTCCCTGCTCTCATTTGGGACTTGGCTTAATGCATGTGATGAGATGATACAGAGAACTAAAAAAGATCCAAAAACCCAAACAATAAACCCCACTCAAAATCAGCTCCATTAATATGAAGAAATACACAAGTACCGGGCATCAGATAAGGTGAAAAGACTGCCAAAGTCTGGCAAGTTATATTAGGGATTTCTGCTATTAGCACGGAGTCCAATGGTGTGAGATGAATATTGGAAATAAAATAAAAAACTAGAATAACCCAGATAGACCCCAAATCACCAATTCATATTTGGGGAGGATTTTTTTTTTTTTTCTTTTGAGACAGGGTCTCTGCTCACTGCAACCTCCACCTCCTGGGGTCATGCTATCCTCCCACCTCAGCCTCCTGAGTAGCACACCACCACACCCAGCTAATTTTTTTTAGAGACAGGATTTTGCCGTGTTGCCCAGGCTGGTCTTGAACTCCTGAGCTCAAGCGATCCACCCATCTCAGTTTCACAAACTGTTGGGATTACAAGCGTGAGCCACTACGCCCAGCCTCAGGAAAGATTCTTAATCGCATATTTAAAAAACCCCAAGAGGAGGAGGATTTTTTCTGAACAATTTTGTATGACCATTCTTCCGAAAATTAAAAATTAAACTGGAAGACAGTGGCCATGGATTCTGGATAGTATCGGTGCAGCTATTAAAGTCCTGATGACTGTTACCTAGTACTGTCCCTGAGACTTCTTCTGGATCCCAAACTCTCTCTCAGCTGGCTCTCCTAACACACTGGAAAGGGAGAGGGGAAGGGAGAGAATTCTGAATTAAAATCTGTCCATTTTATATTTTTTCCTCAGCTGTGAAGGGATATTTGTTAGATAAAAGATGGAAGGACTTAAAATGCAAGTAAAATTGATTAAAAAAAAAAAAAAGAAACCAAACAGCTTAATGGAAAGAGACAAATTAAGCCACTTGTCTTGAACTTGATCTCAGTTTTCCCATCCATACAATGTTAATATCTCTTCATAACACTGCTTGTGGGGATTAAATTAGGTACAGGTGGAAAGTGCCTGATAGTATTTTTCATGGATTTTGTTCAACAGGTGGTACCTATTATTATGCTGCTTTTATTATTATTTATCATCCTTGAGTTGTGGTTTGAAAATGACTAGAAAAGGGTTAAGATTCCAATAGGAAAGGTTCACGTGCTGCTAAATCACCAAAAGAACAATTTATATGACACTCCAGTTGCTTATGCACCAAAGCAACCACCTTCAAAAAGCATCTTTGGCTTGGGACATTCCTCATCACTGTATGACATTCTTCTTAATATTAACCCTGCCTTTTAGTAGTTGAAACATCTATTGCATGTCTTCTCTGATTTCCATTTGGCTCAGGTTTTAACAGCTGATTTAATATTTTTTTTTAATGGAAGATCAGAATTCTCAAAATGGATCTAGAAGCTTCCTTCCTAATTAAAAAGAAATTTAGAATTTCAGAATTCTAGCTTTTGAATATACATTTGTTTTGTGCTTTGTAAATATATATTTCCCATTTTTAATCCTTTCAAGTGCTAATGCCTCTTCATAAATCCACCAACATTACAAACATTGCTCCTACCGATAAACATTAACAATTTCTAGTTTATGCTGCATATTCAAATATCTTATTTAATTTTCTCCTCAGGATAAATTGATAACAATGAGGATTATTATTATTACACGTAAGGAAACTAGGGCTCAAACAGTCTAATTTTATACACAAGTTGCATATCTAAAATAAAGCTGGTCTGGGATTTAAATCTATGTCAGCATGCTCTTGGACTATCAGATTATGAGGCTTATAACTAACAACTTAAAGTTGCCCGAGGATCCAGACTATGGCCAATTTTTTTGGTGTACCTTTTTCTACTTCGGTATAGAAGGGACATGTAGAAGCAACTGAACCTGGATGTCTTCACTGGAGGTGAATGTGTGTCCCCATCAACTCAAAGAAAGAAGCCAACTCAGGCAGAAGAATATAGTTCACTCTATTATATCTCAGTACCTTTTTGTAAAGTCAGTTCAAGTGATATAATAATTAATCTCTATATTATCTGAGCTGCTGGTTTGTAAACAATCGCATTTGAAATCAAGTGGTATTTAAGGGAACACTAAAACAAAATGGAATGAAAAACCAACAAGATTTTAGGGCAAATGCTCCAATGTTTAAATATGGACTAGGTGAACTATGATTAAATACAAACTTAATTCTATTTAGGAAATTCTGCAGCTAAAGAGATGTGGTCCTTGTCCACGAAAATTGTTACAAATGCTCTGTATCATGTGACAGATCTCAAGCAACTCATTAACATTTAGTAACAGCATTACAAAAGCAGTTTGGTTAGATGGATAAAGTATACTGTATCCATGATTTTTGAGATTAAACATTTATACAATAAAAAAGGACAATTCTTCAGCTTTAAAAAGTTAAATTGTATATTATGAATATATCCAAGTTGATGTGTATTCGATAATTAAATGTATTAGATTAACCAGTTCTACCTCAATGTTCCTTATCTTTAAGGCAAATGAAATTTTATAGATCATTTAGTTTCATGAGAACTAAGCCTCAGATGATCACAGGAACTCCTTACTAGCACAGCATATGAAGAGTTTTAGACATTTTAATGGATGCAGATAATCAATACTGACAGATTAATTGATTTTTAGATATCGTAGTACCTATTAGCACAGTCCCAAGGAAAGAAGCAGGACTAGGCAAATCTCTAGGAACCATGGGTAGTAGTGGGTTCTTTCTCAAAACAAAGGGTAGCTTTGCATGAGAAAGGGAAACTCACAAAACATGGTAAAGAAAGCTAGTTAAGCAAAGATAAGCTGCTTACACTGGAAGTTGCCCAGATCCAGTGGTTCTGTCTGAGGAGACATAGCTGCTGTTTTCCATGTACAGTAGGAAATGTTTTTGGCAGAACCTGAGTCCCTGCATACTCCACCTGGTCCTGTGCACTGCTCCTCTCTCTTCCTGATGGCCTTTTAGTTGACCCCCCTATTCCCTGCCTGCCTGCACCAGGTACATGGCAGGAACTTGGGTGGCAGGAATTCACCTACCATGCTATTTGCTATATCCTCTAGCTGATTTAGCTTGCTAGTCTTTTTTCCTCCTCCTCGTTGGACTATCCTCTTTATTATGGAGAATCAAACTGTTGTATAATGAATTCAGAGTGTTTCGGGATTTCTTAGTTTTCATAATCATTTCTAGAGGAACTGGTGGGTGGTAACAGAATCAAAATTTCTTAAGATGAGCAGAAAATTGATCAGGAATAGAGTTTTTGTTTTTATTTATGCTAAGACAGTTGAAGTAACCTTTAGTCTACTAGAAAGTTCTAGGTCAATTAGAAATTGGGTTGGTGAAAGGAAAATCAGTTTTAAATTAATCAGCAATATAATTTTCTTGGTAATGAAAGACTGGCTTCTTCATCCTGGTGTGAAAAAGAGTTCTGAGAGGAGATGGAAAGAATGCGGCCTGAAGAGATCTAAATTAACAGGGAGCCCATAACAAGCACAAAGATGATCTTTTCTCATCCTATAACACTGTTGACAATAATGTGCCTTAAAGGCAGCAAAACTGCTAGCTTTGGCTCCTCCCCAGATACGCTTCACATGCCATCGTTGACCCACGGTACCCCACTCCCAGGGTATCTTATTACCAAAGCTTCCCACCATAACAGTCCTCATGCCATGATCTTACCAGTGACAGTGTCATTTAGTGGCTTTTCCCAGTCCAAGATGACAAATGAGGGGCACCCTTCCACAGTGACCACAGTGAGGTTGGTGGGTGGGTTCTGTGGTGGGCTGGTGGCATTCCCCTCTGTGGCATCCTCTTTGGGGAACCGTTTGACGGAGTCAGTAATGGAGCAGGGACTGTCGTCAGGCTTTTGGAGGTATCGCACATGAGGACCTGTGAGAGAGAGGACCCTTGACATTTAACATTTTTGCAACTCGTGAAGAAGATGGAAGTGAGCTCATAAATACAATTTGAGGACATTTGGTCTCATATTATAAGCAGATGGTTGAAAGCCATGATGTGGATGGTTCAAACTAGGAAAATTCAAAATCTTGCCTCTGAGACACATGATATAGGGTGGTGTTGATCTACTTACTGAATAGGTTTAGCTTATGCTAATATCAAAAAGTAATTTGATCCCCTAAGCATAGTTTAGAGTTCATAATTTATGGGGCACTGGTTCTTACCTCAGTAGTGGGAAATAATTAGCTCCATACTAAACACAGTTCTGGTCCCACCCAATAAATTTTAAAAACCAGACTCAAAAGAATCAAGTAGCTTCAAGTATTTTACTGTATCCCAGAACAAAACTCAAGAATATTCTAGGAATAATAAAAAAAAAAAAATCCAGCACCTAACAGGTAAAATTCATAGGAAAATATTACCTATAATAAGGAGAGAAAAATCAATCAATTGAAACCAATGCAGATCTCACATAGATGTTAGAATAATCAGATAAGAGTTATAGTTATTACTATAATCCACATGTTCAAAAAGTTAGTAAAGACATGTATGATATTAAAAAGGACCCAAATCAAATTTCTAGAGATGAAAGCTACAAGATAAAAGATGCATTGGATAGAATTAATACCTATAAGATAATGCAGAATAAATGATTAGTGAACTCAAAGACATAGCAATAAAAACTATCCAAAAAGAGGGAGAGAAGATAAAAATTAAAAATAACGAACATTACTGAGCTGTGGGGACCATTTCTGGTGGTCTCATATACATGTAATTGGAGTAGTAAAGGTAAAGAAGTGGGTGGGCAGAAAAAAATATTTTAAGAAATAATGGTCCCAAATCTTCCAAATGTGATAAAACCTCTAAATCCATAGAGCCAAAAAGCTCAAAGATACCTAGGAACAACAAAAATGTAGAAAACTATATGCTGGTCATCATCAAGTTTCTCAAAACAAGTGATAAAGAGAAAATCCTTAAAGGAGGCAGACAAAAAAAGACACGTTATATACAGAACAACAAAGATAAGGGTTTTGGCAGATTTCCTACTAGGAAGAATGCAAGTGAGAGGCATTGGAGCAGCATCTTCAATTATTGAAATAAAAGACATCATTTAGAATCTAATAAGTAGTGAAAATACCTTAAAAGCAAAACACTTTTTCTAGACATACAAAATCTGTAAGGACTTATTTACCAGAAGACCCACACTAAGAGAAATATTAAAGGAAGTCTTTCAGATAGGAAGGAAACAATGCCGACAGGAATGTGGAGCCACACAAAGGGATGAAAAGCGCAGTGACAGTAAACACATAGGTAACATACACAATGTTTTTCTTATTATTCTTTCTAAAAAAGTTTACTGTTTAAACACAAAAACTCCTTACGGTAATGTATATAACACGTAAAAGTAAAATGTATGACAATAATAGTCCAAAGGCCAAGAGGGGAGCAAAGCTATGCTAGTGTGAGGTTCTTATATGTGAGGTTGTACATTATCACTGGATGGCAGATTGTGATAAGTTAAAGATACACGCTATAAACCCCAAAGCAACCATTAAAATAATAAAACAAAGTTACAGCTAATAAGACAACAAAAAAGATTAAATGAAATTGTAACATACTCAACCTAAAAGAAGATTGACAAAGAGGAAAAAAGGGAACAAAGAATAGATGGGAAAAATAGAAAGCAAATAGCAAGATGAAGATTTAAATGTACCAATATCAATAGCCATACTAAATGTAAGGCTACACACACCCAAAATAAAATGCAGTCTGGGCGTGGTGGCTCATGCCTATAATCCCAGCACTTTGGGAGGCCGAGGCGGGTGGATCACTGGCAGTCAGGAGAGTTTGAGAGCAGCCTGGCCAACATGGTGAAACTACATGTCTCTACTATGAATACAAAAATTATGGGCATGGTGGTGGGCACCTGTAGTCTCAGCTGCTCGGGGAGGCTGAGGCAGGAGAATCACTTGAACCCAGGAAGTGGAGGTTGCAGTGAGTCAAGATCACACCACTGCACTTCAGCCTGCGCAACAGAGCGAGATTCCATCTCAAAAAACAAACAAACAAACAAAACTATTCTGAATAGCTCTATACCTATTAAAGAAAGTGAATTCTATTAAAAATTGATACACTGAGTTTCATTAAAATTACAAGACACACACTGGGAAAAAATATTTTCAAAGTATGTATCTAAAAAAGGTCTTGTATCCAGAAAATATAGATTCTCAAAATTCTACATTAAACAAGCAACTCCATTTTTTAAATTTGGCAAAAAAAATTGGAAATAGCAAAAAAGATATATAGATGGCAAATAAGCACATAAGATGTTCAGTGTTATTAACTGTTAGGTGGTTGCAAATTAAAACCATAATCAGATACCATTACACACCTACTAAAATGGCTAAAATAAAAAAGACTGACCATACCAAATGTTGGTGAGGATTTGGAGGAACTAGAACTCTCATCTCTGCTGACAGAAAGGTAAAACAGTACAACTACTTTGGAAAACAGTCTCTTAAAACGTTATACACACACTTATATGCCATGTAGCCACCCCCTCCTAGGTATTTGTCCAAAGGAATGAAAGCATATGTCTATACAAAGACATGTACATGAATGGACATAATAGCTTTATCAGTGAAAAAAAATTGCAATGCCACGAACACATTTACTAAAGAAACAAATTACTGAATATCCAAATAATAGAATGCTAGTATACATGCAGCAACATAGATGACTCTCCAAATATTTATGCTGATAAAAGAAGCTTGACAATAAAAAGAGTTCATACTGTATGTTTTCATTCATATAAAATTTCATAAAGTACATACTACAGTATGGCAGGCCTGTTGTCACATAGGCACTGGGGGGTTGAGTGGGAGAAAGAAGAGAAAGGGATTGCAAAGATACATGATGAAACTTTTGGATGTCATATATGTGTTATTATCTTGATTGTGATGATGGTCTCATGGGTATATGCATATGTTAAAATTCATCAAATGTTACATTTCAGAAAAAAACTATAAATGCAAATACTGGGCTCTATATCTCTCCTACTGTGGTAGACTGTTGTTCAAAACTATTCTTTATGTCCATAGGAGAAGTATTCTTCCCCAATCCTTGATTTGAACTTGGCTGTGTGACATTTTTTGGCCAATGGATATTGGTAGATATGACACAAAAAGGAGCTTTAAATGTGGTTTTGCATTTGGACACTCCCCGTCTTGATTTTGCCTTATTATGAAAGTGGCTTCCCCTGGGTCATTGTTGGTTGTTCATCCTGGGAATCAGAGTAAACACATGTGGGGTGAACCTGAGTCCAACCCACAAGAGGCCCAGTTGTACCTGCTGCTAGAAGCAGAACCACTAAGCTAAACACATCCTAGATCAGCTGACACTCAGTTGACTTGCAGACACATGAAAAATAAATCATTATTATAGTAAGTTACTAAGATTTGGGGTTTGTTACACAGCAATAACTGGCTGATACACCTACCAAAAATAGCCTTTTCAAATGTGAGATTCACAGCCAACCATACATACCTTTGAATCTTGGCTTCCCAAGAGGATCAGTTTCTCTTGTTGGGCTTGAGCTAAAGTCAGTTATATTTTCTGAGAATGGAAAATAATGAACAATTTTGGCAAAAGATAAAAAAGCTTCACAATACAATGTAAACGTTGTAGACTAAAGATACTCAATATTTCTCCTTGTAAACTGCTTGCAATTTTGACTTTTTAAAATTACACATATTCATCTACAATATAAGGCCTTTAGTTGTATCCTGCTGCAAGGTATTCTATAGTGTGAGTAATGAATTACAAGTTATAACCAAGTGGTTAACATGCACTAATAACTTAAGGTATGTGTAGTTAGTAATAATGTGATTTAGTGGTAGCATTAAGTAGTCTAGATCTTTTTATGAACCAAAGTTAGGCAGTTTCTTCTAGGTCTGCTAAGGGAAGGACAATATTCTATAAGGAAGTGTTGAAAATAAGTATAATTTTAAAATTAAAAACAACCATATTAATAAAATGGAGTAAAATAGAAGACCTCAAACTGAGACTCCCCCATCCCCACCACCATTTAAAATCTTTTGCACCTCACAGCTAAGTATCCAGTGAGAACGGATTGCCATACGAACCCAGTTCTTCTCCAGAGGCAGGAACTGTTGGTTGCTTTATATCTGTTGCTATTCTCTCCAAGGGAGTTCCAGTAGGTCTGAGTGTTGACCTCAGGGGTGGTATGGTTATTGGGCCTGATGAGATGATTCCTGTAATGTAGAGCCAAAGTAGTCAGGCTTTACAGGAACACTGCCAAGTTTCTATAAACATTTATTCAGTAAATGTTTTTAAGCACTTACTATGTGGCTTGGCACTATAGACCAGCTTTGGAGAGAAAACAAGACCTGATTCTTAGTGGAGACAGATGTGTGAGCCAAGTATATCAAAGCATAATTATAGACGTTATGAAAAAGTACTAGATAACATCACAGAGGGGCGTGTAAGAAGAGGGAGTGGTTATGTCTGTGAGGAAAGATGGAGGGCTGTCGGGTTGCATCGGGCAGAGAAATGCCTTCACAGAGGATGTGCCAATAGAGGAGAACTAATTAGTAGGTAGAGACAAGAGCTGTATTATAGACAGAGATTATAACAAGAACCACGTCAGGGAAGCATGCAATAGCCTGGTGTGTTTAACTTGAAGGGGTACAATAAGAGCTGAGCGTGGAGGGGCAAGGAAGGGCAGATCATGAAAGAAGTTGAATACCATGGATTTGGATGTTATTTTTAGGGACTGAGTCAGTTGTGTAGGCAAGAGAAAGGAAGGTGAACTACAGCAAAGGCAGTGGAACTGGATGGAAGGGGTGGACATGAGAGCTGTCAGGGAGACTCAGTGGCAAGCCTGGAAGATGGCTAGAGAAGAAGGAAAAAGATTCCTAGGGTTAATGTCCATGATTCTGGCCTGGTGGCCAGTGTAGTGCTACCCTGATTGCTATATTCAACAGTGACTCCTCCACTCTTGAAACACTTATAAGTCCCTAAAACTGGATCCATCCCAAGGTCCAGGCAAGTCTGGGTGTTTAGAGTCGAAAGGAGACTAGATTGAATTTTACGTTCCACCTGGAAGAAGGAGTCACTCTTGGGCAATAGAGAGTCAAAGGATACAAGCCTGTCCCAAGGACTATGGCCCAGCATGGAATCAGGGCTGAGTAGTCAGATGGGCCTCTGGCCTGGCCTCCAGGGATGCATGTTCCTGACGCTAGTGGGTATGAGCCACAATAAGAGGTCAAGCAAAACCCAAGAGAAGTTGCACTGCAGTCCACAGGGCTTTTCAGAGTTGGCAGAGTCAACCGGAAATGCTGTCATAGCAAAGCATTTTCATCCTGGTGAGGACAGTGGGACTCAGAAGCCTGGGTAGATCTGGAGATTGAGGGCAAGTGGCACACGTCACATGGCAGCCCCAGACTGTGCTCACAGACACATGTGAGAGCCTCAGAGGACTCCAGGAAATGGGGCTGGAATTCAAGATACACTTTCTGTGATGCTAATCAGGCCACATCTGTCCCAGTGCCCTCAATTATTGTTTGGCTCCTCAGTGCGGCCGTTTGCCTGGAGTTAAAGGTGAATGGCGGAGGGTGAGGGTGGAGAGTGGGGACTAGGGTTCATCTCAGAAGTGGAATGTGTTTACAGTTTTTCTTCAGGCTGGGTAGGCTGTACCAAAGCTACATTTACTGAGAGGAGAGAACCAGGGTTTGTATGGCAGGCACCAAGGCCATCAAACTGCTCCTTAAGGCACACAGCCTCACAGCATTGCTCTGGAGCGGGCCCCCAAGTAGCACACTCAGGCATCACCCTGTGGCTCATCCAGTCTGATCAGCAAGCCGCTGGAGCTCAAGTCACAGCTGCCCCAGGTTACAATAAATGGTGAAGCCCAGTCTCCTAGCAAGGCCATGCCACTGGGCCTTGACTCAGATAGGCACCAGAGGCATGGACGGGAGGCTGCTTCCTCCTTCAGCCGAAAATGACCTAGAGTTCACTGTGCGCCTGGGACATCCTACAAGCCCCAACACAATAGCCTCCTTTCATCCTGTGAGAACAGTGACACTCCCTTTCACGGCGATCCACATCAGTTCCATCTTTCACAGCTGTTTTAACACTTTTATCCCGATTCCACCTACAAAATAATTAGGAAGTAGTGTTCTGGAGAGAGGGAGGAAAGATGGGAAACATGCTGCAATTTGCTGGCAGGTCCTAGGTGAAGAGCCCTGAGTATGAGGTAAAGCTTCCGTCTGAACTGGGTCAATTTTACTTACTCAATTTCATTCCTTTTTTCACTTCATTATTACTTATCAAATATCCTCTATGTGCTAAGCATGGGATTTGGTTCTGGGAATTCGGAGAGAAAAAAACAAGGACTTTGTCATCACAGAGCTCACAGTCTAGCACGGAAAGAGAAGTATGCAAACAAGCAGGTCTGAAACAATTTCTGTTTGCTCTAACAGAGGTGTATGTCAAGGACAAGAACAGAGAAGCAGTGCCAAGACGACCTTGAGGAGTTAGGGAAGGTTTTTAAAGAAAAGGATGAAGTCTGAGTATCCCAAGCCTGGAAAGGATCATTCTAGAGGGAGGAGCAATGTGTGTGCCCAGGCATGGAAGAAGAGGCAGCTTGCCTCCAAAACATATTCCTGTCTTGTTGCACAGGCTAGGCCTTTCAGCCACCCTGAATATTTTAGTCCCAAATCTTCCCCTGAGCACCACAATACCAGGCCTGGCGTGAAGGCTGTTGGATAGGAGAGCTTTCAGTGGGACATACAGGATTTTGTTTCAGGAGACAGAATAAGTCAATGACAAGTCATCACATCTGTTGTTCCCAGGGCCTTGGCAATGTACAGCATCTTGTCCAAAATAATCCATTTGTTGAAGGGCCTGAGTCAGCTTCAATCTAGGCTCCAAGCACTCAGACATCTAGGAAGCAAATTTGCCTATATGCAGAGGGATGGTTTCCTTCTTTCAGTCCAAGTGTCAGGTTATAAGTCCTGAAAGTCATCATTTACAGTGTCTAGTCTTCAGGGCCAACACAAACGTGTCACACACATCAATAGTGTGCCTGTTGCTAGCACACCAAGAAGAGTTTACGTTGGCTAGTAAAACCGAAATCATGGCGGGAGAAGGAAGTTACGTGACTAACGTACCTGCACTTCCTGGCTTTCCAGTGACATTATTTGGTGGTAAAGGTTTTCTTCGTGGGGGTGTAGGTCTGGGTGGCAAGGGTGGGCGGCGAGTCCCTGGGATTGTGTATAAGAGATTGTATTTTAGATAAAGTCATTATAAAGATTCACTATCGAAAAAAACACAGGGTTTTTAAAAATAAAAAATAATGTTTGATAATTAGTAGTTGGATGACAGAGAATAGATTCTACAGAAAAGTGCACACAAATAATATATTCTGATATTCCTATAAATTAATGTTGGTAATGTACCCAGGGATAACAAAGCACTTTAGTATATAGAAAACACGTCTTCATTATAGATGAATATACAGTTGAGCCCTTCATATCTGTGGGTTCCCCATCAGTTAATTCAAACAACTGTGGATGGACAACTTTTTTTTTTTTTTTATGCTTAGTGTTTTTTTTTTTTGTTTTTTGTTTTTTTTTTTGGAAAACTTTTTTAAAAACCACAATAAAAATAACAATACAACAACAGCAAAACACAAAATACAAAATAATAACTATTTATATTGCATTAGGTATTATAATAATCTAGGGATGATTTAAAGTATATGGGAAGATGTGCATGGGTTATATGCAAACACTATATCATTTTATACAAGGGATTCGAGCATCCTCAGATTTTAGTATCTGAGGAAAATCCTGGGACCAATCCCCCATAGATACCAAGAGATGACTGTACATAGGTATACCTACTTTTGGAAAGGCTATATACACGTATAGAATTTAACATCTTTCATTTTCCATATAGACTTAACAGGAGCACTTCTGAACTTTATTATCCTCAGCTGCCTTTTATTTTGAACCTACAATTTCTTATGCCATTTTAGTTTTAAATTGTTAAAGCATAGATTTTCTCCTTTTGTGGGTGTTTTACTCCATTCTCAGCTCTATTATGTAACTGTAATTAAAATCCTTTAGAACTTCTCAAAGATTACATTGAGGTAACCCTGACGGCTGGAACAAGTCTGTATCTGTGGGGAGCAGACTCACTGTGAACCGTTGTGGGAGTTGTGTACCGCACAAAGACACTGGCCCAGGAGGTGTAAGTGGGGGACAAAGCTTAGCACCTGCTCTGTTCATCCACTTACGAGCTCTCATGCAAGGCTGCCAGCCCAGAGGAAGGGCATTGCTTTTCTCATTGTCTGCCTAAAGAGTGGGGTACACAGGCACCTTTTCATAATTTGCAGAAAGACTGGCGAGGTCAAAGGTGCTTGGAGAAGTCCACTTTAACTTAGCCACATTTTACGTCTTGTGCTACAGTTAAACAATTTATATCTTTTTTTTGGTATAATATATGTTGGTTTTAAAATCTCCAAGAAAAATTGTCAATCCAGGAAAATGCCTGGTATACTAGTAAGAGAAAGACTCTGTGTGTGTGTGTGTGTGTGTGTGTGTGTGTGTGTGTGTGTGTTCAGGAGTATACTGGTGGTTGACATTAATAAAAGTCCTTATTCAATCCAAAGGCATTCTGAGTCACCAGATTCATACTTTTGGCCTATTACATAGAGCATACTCTTAAATCAGGAACATAAGTAATCACAGGCAAAAAAAAATTGTAATAAATTACACAAGAGCAAAACTTAAACACGATCAAAACTGGAAACCACGGTGATGCTGCAGCATGTGCCCATTATGGCCCCTCAGAACATTATAGAAAGTAATGATTAAGTTAGTATCACGTCGGAAGTTCCTATTAATATTTAATTTGTGCATGGAGCACTTTTAATTCCTCCAAAGATAATATTCCAAATGTTTTCCTAGCAATACCCATGCACTGTATGCATGGTTCTGATATTTTGGGGGCTGTGTGGATGTTGCTGTTTTTGCCACAATAAATGATATTGCAGTTACCATCCAAGTTTCAGAGCTGAGCTGTCATAAAAGTCAGCATATCATTCCTTACCTGGCTTCTTAGTGGGGTGGGGAGAGTCCACTGATACATTTCTATCAGCACCTGATGGCTTGGGTGCTTGCTTGACTCCTATGAGCAGAGATAATGAAAGGGAATAAACATATATTTAAACAAAACATGTTCCATGGGAACTTTGTAGAGTTGTCAGTAACAACGTACATTCTTTGCAGAGCAGGCACATTGGTGTTTTTATGCCAAGACATTTTAACGGGCTTCTACTATCTGGCTATAGAAAAAAATAAAAACCCTACATTCACTAGTTGTGATGTTTTCTCTGTAGAATTAGCATTTCATGGTAAATTGCGGTTTTGTCCAAATCTTTCAAGAAACTCATCCTGCACTGCCTTACTGGGTGGTATTGCCTCACCAGGTGGGATTTCATTTATGGTAACTGGCCACCTTTTGCCAATATTCATCAGTACAGTTCGTAATTCAAAAAAAATTTTTTTTCTTCCAATCCCTCTATGCCCATTAAAAAAACCCACACCTTAGAATTCCAGTGTGTTTGGGTTTATACTTAATAAATTGACTTTAAAATTATTCCTGGAGTGGCATTAGCTATAAGGCTATTGAGGCCACAAATGATGTTTTGGGATTTGTAAATTAGCCCTGGGCAGGCCTATAACTGTACATTACTGTTTGAAAGAAACTGATTTGAAAATCACGTTGTGTGTTATTTTGTCTCCTAAGCCCCTCAATAATCTCGTGGTTATTACTAGCCATTTGTCTAAATACCCAGGCTTGGACTTTGGGTAGCAATTCCAAAGGGAACTAATTAGGTTTTTGTCGTATTTTAAAAATTATTCTTTTATATTATAAAATAATCTTCCTTGGTTTGGGTGACAGCATTCATTATAAAAGAATAGAAACAGACATTTTTAGAAGTTCAACAATAAAAATCACTTCAGAAATAATGACCTGTCCTAAAAAAGAATTCATACTACTTTGAGGACCTGACTGTAATTTACATATTAAAAAATAGGAATGAAATGTTTACATTAATATACTAGTTAGTACATTAACGATGACAGCAACCCTGGTTTGAGGGCTCACTGTGTTCCCGAAACTGTTTGGGGACATTATATACTCGATTCCATTTAATGTGTGGGCAGATATATTAAATATACAACAGAAGCTTTGCCTCCCTAAAATAAGATGACATTTTCACATTAATTTATGACATTCAGGGGATGAACCTAATATTGCAATCCCACATCCTCTGCTGCTTGAGTAAGAGATAAAATATATACAATCATGGAGAAATTACATACGGAATCATGAATTAAAGCTTATTTGTGGTTGGAAAAAAAATGTTTCTGGGGGCAATGACTTTTGTGACTAATCCCATAGGCAGGCCACAAGCAAATGGTTCATTAGCCTTCCTCCTGTGTCTCACTGTCAGGGGTAGTGGGGAAGGGAAATGGCTCATTTGAGTGGTTACTCTGTGAACAGCACAGGGAATTGAAGAATACCTGCATGTGGGTCACTGGGTAACTTGGCTTGCCAAGGTTTGATTTACCACGATTTCTCCAGGGTAACAAAAAGTTTTATATACTCTAGAAGGCCAGTAGGCTGTTGTCTTGAGTAGACCCTTCTTTACAGCCCTTTTCCAAATCTTCCTGCCCTTGAAAACCAAAGTATTTTGATCCAATACTGTGCCAGTGCCTTACATATTCATGATTTGACTTAATCCTTACAACCCTGTGTGTGTGGAATACAATCTACGTCCCACAGATGAGAAAACCCAAGGCAAGAGGAAATGAAGCAATTTGCCCGAGGTCTCACAGCTAAGAAGCAGTGGGATCCAGGCCTACATATGCCAGGATCCAAAGCCTATCTCTTCAGCACTAAGAGGCAAAGCGCAGAGTATTTACTGTCCTCTGATCATTTTCTCCCTGCTATTCATCACAGTAACTCTGAGTGAATATATTCCTAAAGCCCTCTACTCTGTCTCTTGGGTGACTTGAGCTGCCACCACGGTGTGAGGGCTAAATGGCCATAGCTGGCAAGCATGTGTTATCCAGTCATGCCACGGGTGTTTGGGACTCAGAAAATAGTCCAAGGCTGACAGCAGTCACTGACCAGGCATATCCAGATCCACCAAGTCACAGGGGCTGGTAGGTTAGAAATCTAGGAGCTCTAGCTTAGAGCTAGGTTCCCACACGTGCTTGTAATTTCCTACCTCTAAGCTTTTGCACATGTTAGTTGCTCCGTTTAAAATGCCCATTTTCATTCTTACCACTTTTAAGATTTTGCACAGTTACATTATACATAAGACCAAAGATACACATTGCCTAGCCCTCTTTTTTTAATCCAAGGAGGAACTGGAAGAAACGAACCATTTTCTATGTAGGTGGAGACAGAGGCATCATATTCTTATGATCCTTAGATACAGGTTCCCAAGTCAAACAGAGAATCAGCTGCAAAACCGGACTTTCTCCAGCCTTTAGAAGTGGACAGAAGCCAGTGGTGCCTGAAAGCATTGGGAAGGGCCATGCAAAAGGCAGCTGTGTGGCTCACTGGAAAGATCTGGGGACAGGAGACTGAGCTCTTGTTCTGGACTTGCTCTCTTGCACCTGGCTGCGGTTTAGGCATTTCACCCGGGCCAGAACCGGAGAGACTAGAGAACACCTCTTGCCCTGAGTCAGAGGACAGCAAATGAAAGGCCAAAAGTAGCAGAGAGGCAATGGGAAGAGAAAGGAGAAAATCAGTAAGAGATACTGAAGAGAACGAATTCTCAGGAATTGGCACCCAATCAGACAGTCTGGCCCAAGCTGTGACCTGACTTCTTTTTCCCTCAGGCAGGATTAACCGACACATCTTCTAAAGGGCAGAGTCAGCTCTGTAAGCACCAAGACTTGAGCCTCAGAATGAGCCCCCAACTGCCATATGGGAGTCCTCCAAAAATCTCTGGATTTACATAGTTCACCCCTCAGCAATTTATCGTCCAAAACGAAGTAACAAATTGGGTACTTTTAACCATGGTAACAAAAACTTTGCAAACAAACAGAGTAAACTGGAAATCAGTTCTTAAATGTACCAGTGACTTCATTCCCTGTGATCAAAAAGGGGTGATATTTATGGATGATTGGTTTCTGCACTCTTGTCCCAAATCTTAGCACCTGGCTAAAAAGCCAGCGGCAGGGAGCCAGCAGGCTGGAAGATTTAGTTACAGCCCAGAAAAACACATTCCTCAGCCTGAGGGGACTGGATTCTCGTGCAGCACACTCATGGGGGGGCAGTAAATCGTGGTTCCCTCATTAGGGTGTAGAGAAAGGAGTGTAGGATTCAGGTTTTTAACAATATCTGTCAAATCACATGTGCCAAGGTAGTTTCAGAATTATGCTTTGCCTGGTATATGATGGGCTTTCAATAAATGTTGGCTGAATGAAAAAAAATAGCTGCACAACTTCCCTCAGGGAGAAAGTCAGAGAGATTGTCTAGCACTGGGATTGGCAAACTTTTTCTGTGCTTGCTTTCATAGCACAATGGCAGAATTAAATATCTGTGAAAGAGACTGTTTTGCCCACAGAGTTGAAAACATTTATCCTTTACAGAAACAGTCTGCCAACCCCATGCTAGACAAGAAATATTTTCACCTTTGTGAACCATACTGTCTCTGTCACAACTATTCAACTCTGCCATGGTACTGTAGAAGTACCTTTGTACACAATACACATTGTACACAGTACAATGTGAAAGCTAGATGTGTTCCAATAAAACTTTATTTACAGAAACAGGCAATGAGCCAGATTTGGCCTGTGGGGCTGTAGTTTGCACAATCGCTTGGCCCAGTGTGTGCATGGCTTGTTGCATCTCTGTAGGCAGGTCTCAAGGAGATTTTAATAGGTAGGACACATCAGCTAAGCTGAGACATGTCTCTGGAAACCACGGAAAAGCAGAATGCTAGAAAAATGACCCACTTTAGATCTCAACCTCTGGCAGGCTACTTTCTAACCTTGGGGTAGAGCAATATCTACCTACACATACATGTATAAAATACACATACATCAGGTAAAACATAATGATGTTGTGAAATAAGATACACTGGACTCAAGATATTCCTGGGGCTTATGGAATCACGAGATTTTTATAGAGACCTCAACAGTCAAAGGTCTGTAGTCTTTAGGCCTCAGAATCTGTTTTTCTTTTTTTAAGCCTTCCAAGGGCACAATATTAGGTGGTCTAAAACCATAAATAACATATCCTACAGGAACTACAAGTTAAAACCACATTGAGATACCACCTTACTCCTGCAAGAATGGCCACTATCAAAAGTCAAAAAACCATAGATGATGGCGTGGATGTGGGGAAAAGGACCACTTATACATCGCTGGTGGGAATGTAAATTAGCACAACCTCTGTGGAAAATAGTTTGGAGATTCCTTAAAGAACGAATAGTAGAACTATACCATTTGACTCAGCAATCCTACTACTGGGTATCTACTTAAAGGAAAATAAGTCATTATATGAAAAAGACACATGCATATGTATGTTTATTGCAGCACAATTCACAATTGCAAAGATACGGAACCAACTTAAGTGCCCATTGACTAATGAGCAGATAAAGAAAATGTTTGGTATATATACACCATGGAATACTACTCAGTGATAAAAAAGGAACACGACAATGTCTTTTGCAGCAATTTGGATGGATCTAGAGACCATTATTCTAAGTGAAGTAACTCAGGAGTGGAAAACCAAAAACCGGATGTTCTCACTTAAAAGTGGGAAGTAAGCTGTAAGTACACAAAGGCATACAGAGTGATATAATGAACATTAGAGACTCAGAAGGGGGAGGGTGAGAGGAGGCTAGGGATAAAAACCTGCAATATATTAGGTACAATGTACACTACTCAGGTGATGAGTGCACTAAAATCTTAAATTCACTGCTGTATAATTCATCCATGTATATCCATGTAACAACAAAACCCAAAAGCCATTGAAATAAATTTTTAAAAATAAAATTAAAGAGTATGTCCTATAGATCACAAACACTTCCTTTATCAACTAATTTTTTTAAATGTGAAATATCTGAGTTGAAAACTTCAGCAAGAAAAACTATAGGAAAATGTGTGTGAGATGGATAATAAAGACAAACATTCTAAGATGTCAAAGTTGAACATGAAATCAGTTAACACAAAAATGATGCATTAAAAGAGTCAACAGAGGCTGAAAGTGTGGATGTGACAGTAGAATTGTGTCAGAGAAGAAAATAAACTTTTGCATACAGCTGCATTTCTATAAAGAAGTCTGATCAAAACTATGCAGAATCAAAGGAAGGTGGACTCAGGTAAGTCTATAACCTGGAGAGGAGAGATTTTTAAATACTTATTCCTCACCAGTTTCTTAAAGTAGTATTCTCTAGGCAAGTATCTGAGAGTTGCTGTTTTTCTTAATCATATGCTACATAGATAATCATGTTATCTATAATTTCTGAATTTTATGCCATTTACTTCTTTTCTTGCCTACTGCATTGGCTAAACATTCACTACTATATTCAATAGAAGTGGCAAAAATAGAAATCCCTGCTGTATTCTCCATCTTAGGAGAAAAGTGTTTAGTCTTTCACCATTAAGTACAGTGTTAGTTGCAGCTTTTTTCTAGTCCATTGCCTTAACCACTTGGCCACAACTGCTGCTGGTGTGAATTTTGGCAGTTGTAGCTTTTTCACAGATGTCCTTTATCAGATTGAGGAAACTTCCTTTTATTCTTAATTTCCTGAGAGCTTTCATTAGGGATGAACTGAAAATTTTGTCTAGGTTGTTTTGTGCATTTACTTGGATAATCATGATTTTTCTTCTTTATTCTGTTAATATGGCAAATTACACTAATTTGTTTGAGTGTTGAGCCAACCTTGCATTCCCAGGATGAATTCCATTTGGTTGGTATGAATTATTGTGGCTGACATGGAGATGTACTGCCCAGATCTCCATTCAGTGCTCTCTGGTTGAAGCTTACTCTGAGGGAGATGATAGCTGGATGCTGTCTGCTGACCTCACTCCCTGCAGGTAGGCAGCAAGTCCTTCCTTGACAGGGGATCCCAATTGACAAATAAAAGAATACAGACGAGGCACAAAAAATTTTGGTTGGGCATGGAGGTGAAGTAAAGAAAGAAGAAACAGTGAGCTCAGCTTTGTCTACCTGTGCCCACCAGCCCAATTTCTCCCAACAACTGACAAATTAAATTGAAAAAGACCTGCTGTATTATTCTTCCAAAGCTAAGTTGGATAAATTATTATAAAGTTGACTTTATGTATACAAGAAGGTAACAGATATTCATTTGTAATAAAAGTGGGCTTTGGAAAAATATTTATATTGTTGATAAGCTAACATATAATGGTTTGTTTCCCTGAGAGATAATTGCATGTTTCTAGTAAGAATCAATATTATAGTGAAGGTTAGTAGCTTTCTTTTTTTTTTGAGATGGAGGCTTGCTCTGTCGCCCAGGCTGGAGAGCAGTGGCACGATCTCAGCTCACTGCAAGCTCCGCCTCCTGAGTTCATGCCATTCTCCCGCCTCAGCCTCCCGAGCAGCTGGGATTACAGGTGCCCACCACACGCCCGGCTAATTTTTTGTATTTTTAGTAGAGATGGGGTTTCACCGTGTTTGCCAGGATGGTCTCGATCTCCTGACCTCATGATCCGCCAGACTTGGCCTCCCAAAGTGCTGGGATTACAGGCGTGAGCCACCGCGCCTGGCCAAGGTTAGTAGCTTTCAAGTGTGATCACAGCTACTTTACTTGTTCTTTCATTTGCTTGGTTGTCATTTAAGTGCTTTCTTTTATTTTTACTTACGCCACTTCCAAGGAATTATTTGAATATTAAACAATTTGTACCCGCCTTCCTCCCAAAATGATCTGAGAGAAGGTGGCTCTGTTTATAGCCAGATTGTTGATGTCAATCTGAAAAATTGAGCACGATCTAATCCCACAGTTGGGAAGAATTAAAAGAGTAGATGAGCACAAATAGATACTGGGATGCTTTCTTACTTTTCATGAGTCACGAACTTATAGTGTTGGCCTCATCATTTGGTTTGAAGAGAAGTGAATTCCTAGAAATTCAGAGACTATAATAATCAAGTACAAAAGTACATTCTTAAACAAAGCTAAATAATTTTTAGACTAAATATCTCTAGGTATTATTCACATCTCTTTTTCATTAGAGAACTGTCATGGGTTAATCAGATATATATGCATTAAATAAATTCTAATTTTTTTTATCTAAGCAAACACAAGAGTTATACTACTAAAAATATTTAAAGGGAATAATACAATTCTATGTTAAGGCATCTAAATAACTACCATTTATCCATGAAGTTGGGTGTTTGAATATTTATCAGATCAGTATCCTAGTTTTTCTAGCATAGTACTTACTCCCATAGATCTGACTAGATTAGAGCTATGTTATTTAAGCTGAATGATTTGAAAACATTAATGACTATAACCAGGGTAACCAAATGCGAATTGCTCTGATTAAATATTTCTTGTTTAAATTTCATATTCCAGATTGCTAACAGATGCAGTTATTCAAAACCTTTTTAATGGTACTTGTTAAATTATAAACTTAAAAATCAACTAATTACGGTTCAAAGACCAGTCTGTGTATAAAAAGTATTTTGAAATTAGGGGAAATAGCTGTTTTTAGTGTTTTCACTCAAGTTATACTTAATCAGGATCTTTTTAAGAAGCAAGATTATATATAGTAACTAGTAGACTAGGTTTAGAAAAGTGAAAAAGTCTTCACTATTTTTAGAAACATCTGAAGTTTTGATTTTGGAATGAGTTATAATTTTCAGTTACAGAGTTACTAAGAACTTTAAAAACTGGTAAAAAGGAAATTAAAATGTGAATTCAACAAAATCATGAAAATTAAATAACGCTTATAGTTTTGACAGGATAAAAAGGAAATACATTTGTGATTATTACCTGTTCCCACTCCATTCCCACTGGGCATCCCACTGGGTTTGGGCCTAGTAGGTCTTGTAGTTGTCCTATGCAGAACTAAAATAAAGTGGGATATAAATAGTTCATTTTCTTATTGAAAGTTTGCAGCCAAGAAAAACAAAATTTCTCAGAGAATTGAAAGTCATTTAACTAGGCAATAAAAAGGATGACTTACCAAAAATATTATTCAGAATATAGAAACCACATTCTTGTATAAAAATAATAGACTTGAATTTGAAAATAGAGACCTGAGTTTGTATTCTGAGGTGATCACTGGGTTTCAGTACTTGACTTGAAAAAGTAACTGGCAAGGGAATTTGTAGTCCGAAGTTGGAAATATCTTGTTTCATTTATAGGTATCAGATACATTCCAAAATGGAACTGAAGCAAGATCAGGACTACATATGTCTAATGAAAAAACAAAATCTGAAGTGTATTTGTCAAGGTCTCCATTCAGAAGTTGGAGTCTTTCCACATCCTTTCGTGGGAATCCCTAGGTACAGAGGTTTTATTATATGAGTCCTTTCACAAAGTCCATTGTCAAGCACAGAACTTGAGGAAACCATTTTGCGTTCTTTCCTGCTCTGGAGAAAGTCATAGCCTTACCAAAGTCTCAAGGGGTGACCTATTTTACAATTCATCTAGAAGACTCTAAGGAAGAGCACTAAGTGTATTGTGCTTATGTGAGAAGCTCTGAAGCCATACTGCTCATCTTTGATCCACTTTCTAGTTCCTCTCTGTGCCTCAGCTTCCTCAACTGTACCTCACAGGGCACATGGCTAGTGCTCGGTCATTATTAGCCATGATTGTTACTGTTTATTTTTTAGAAATGTTTAATATCACCAGTCTCACATTAAGCTCTCAACACCTATCATGACACACAAAGTCACAGGGAGATATACATGGTTATAAAAGATTTCTGTGCCCAATTATCTTTAGAAGTTGGAAAATTATAAACAAGTATATGGACTCTACATAAACCAAAGAATATAAAATTATTGTTCTAAAGATGTATTCACCTAGAATATTCATTCTAAGCAGGTTTCATCATTTGGAACTTTAAGACTTCTTAGAATCACAAAGAAAAAGAAAATAAAACACCAGTGTTTGGTCCAACTTGTGCCTCAGCATAAGAGTGATTTACACGAACTAGATCAACCCCTCCAAGTCAACTTTTTTTCTGAACAAGCTCCTGTGAGGGCAATCCTAGGACCTTTGGAGAATTTAGTAAATTTAACATATTCCCAATATATAATTATAACTTTATTTTTGCTGTTTAGAACTTGTGATATTTTTATTCTCTGAAGGAATCAAGTAAAAATGTTCTCCTAGAACAAGAGCTTTTCTATGCTGAAAAAAGACCATCTTTTCTTAAGAGAGAAAGAATATCTGAAAGTAAGTATTAAATAATATCATGTCATAGCTAACTCTGTGCTACCTCTATAACTGTCAGGAAAATCGTCCAACACTATTTTAAAAATACTTTTAAATCAATAAAATTTCATAGTGATCTCTGCATCTAATTACCCTTAAAATCCTTAGTCAAGTCTTATCACATTTATGGATTCATCAGTATCTTTTCACTTATCCACACAGATCAGAGTCCCTGTATATCTTTTATTGCAATGTAAGGATCCCCTTTGGTGTATTTGGCTGTTTCAATCCATTTCCTATCTTTCCCTGCCTGCTGATTATTTAAGTCATCAGAGAAACAACTTACCAGGTCTGATGTGTGGCTTGTCAGATGTTCTGGGCCTCACAGTAGTATAAAACCTGTGTGGCGCTGAAACAGAGGAACACTTTATATTTAATAAGCAATAGACCAAAGCCTCCTGAGTGGAGATTTAGCATCCTAGGGACCAACAACTCATACACTTTGCCTGGATGTATAAAGAAGGTTCAGAAAATTCCCATTATGCATTATAGACTTCATGCTAAAGGAAAATAAAAGAAAGAAAATATACAAGACTGAAAATTAAAGATGCACATAGAATGAGGTAGTTCATTTGTAAGGTGTGTTAAGGATTAGTCATCATTTTGTCCCTATTTTTCAAGAGCATTTGTTTTACCAGATGTTTGCTTAGCATGATAAACCCATAAGCCATCCATCTGTCTGTTCATCTGTCCATCCATCTAATCTCTCAGTGAAGAGTCATTGTGAAATATTACTTTGCTAAAGAAGTCAAACAATCTTAAAGGTAAAAAGAGAAATGACTGTTTAGGTAGGTAAAGAAGAAAGAGTAGGAGTATGTGGTCTCTATCAAATGGTCTTTGCTCATGAACCTGAAATGTGTAAGTATTCACTCAGTGTCATCCAAAATGCTGTAGAAATGACAGAAAATGACATCTGGTGCCCTGCCTATCAAAAGAGGACAAGCAAGGAGCAAGAACTCAGATAATCCCTGGGCCAGTTATCCAGGACCTGCACAGAAAGGCATCCTAATGAAGACTTGCTGAATGAATGAATAAGTGGGTGACCACTGTATGCAGGCCAACTTGTGAGAACCTGCTGAAACATTAATGCAGCCTAAGGTTTCAAGGTAAGCATTCATCCTGGAATTCATCTATTCCATGCTGCTCTCCTCTGTCCCCACTTCCCCATCACATACTGCCTCCTGCCACCAGCTTTCTTGGTAACGTTTTTGGAAAAATTTTTTCCTGAAAACTATGTAAGTAGATTACATCGTTTTAAAGATTTTATTCACATATCGAGTGGATATTTATATAGCCATAAATCAGCAATGCCTTGCCTACTAAGTTAAAAAAGTGTGCCTGTGAAATAGGTTATAATGTAGCTCATTTATAAACTTCCAATGTAAAGACTGTGATGAGCAGAATTTTGCCATACTTCAAGCCAACAACAGCGGACACATACTGAAATTCTCTATAGGTTTAGTTTGGGCCTTCCCAAGTGTCATAACCATAAAAATTAATTTTCACAAACCATAAAGTGCCTGATGATTATCTGCAATTTTTTTCTTCCAATTTTGAGATGGTGGGATTCCCTCTTAACCTATTTCGTCTTTCCATGTAAATCCCTTTGAATGTTAGGTTGCTTCTGCTTAAAAGTAAGAATCATAGTTCTTGTCTCATTCTAGAATACATATAAATTTTAAAGCTTTGGACAGGAAAGAGATTGAGAGTAGACCACAGAAATAATCAGCACTACATGATTTCAAAGCCATGGCATCTGAATTTTTGTTTTAGTTTTCTCCATAGTCTTCATTTAAATCTAGAAATAATTTTTTTAATAAAAGAGCTGAAATATAATTTCAGTTTAGGTTGTAAGTTACTCATATAGCTCATCACTAAACAATATATGGCCTTGAGAAAACTGCCGCAGAGTTTCAATTTTAAACATAGAAAAAGAGCTAAGGATATAAGAAAAAAGTCAACATATATAAATATGTTAAGACAATTTATATAATGATATGAGATCATTGATATACTCCTAATAACCGGTGAAATTTATATTTAATACAGTATTTTGAAGGAATTTGATTAAAATGCCATATATACTAGTAATGGTGACACAATATTGATATTCTCTTTAAAGTAGGAAAAGGCAAAACAAGGAAAGAACAGGCCTGTGATCTTTTATCCTCATTCTGAAATCCTTATATCTCTAAAAAGCTGAAATCTTTCTCATTTGGCAACACAACCTGCATGGAATGAGAGTCTTCATTTATCCTGCTTGTTGTAAATATTTATGTATTTTGTGGTTAAAACAGATTGATTATGAGAATCCAGCTATCTTCCCTTAAGCCAGAAATTAAAGAGATTTGCAAAAACATGAAATAATAAACATACAGAAATCAGGGTGGAATAGGGATGTATCACAACGGAACATCTGTTCATTGTTGAGGCTGGTAATAGAGATGTGAGAGGGCTGTCATATTATACTTCAGTCTTCTGTGTATAATTATAAATAAGCAGCAAATAAAAATTAAGTGAAGTAATTGAATAAAAGTTTAAAACATAAAAGTTAAACCATACAAACAAGTAAAAAAGATTTAGAAAATTTAAAGGAACTGCTCTTTACCATAGTCTTAGTCACGTTTACTTGGAGTAAATGTTGCCCCAGTGACACATGTACTTTAAAATTAGATTTCTTTCATTATCGTTTCCTCTTATTATTAAACTTCTCTCACCAACTTTCCCCCTCAAATTAGAACTCATAATGGGCAATATAAACTTATTTGTCTAACTCCCTAAATGTTTGCTCTTTTTGGTCTTATTTTTGGCTTTCTACCATCCGATAGAGGCAGAGATGGGCAAAAGTGGTCATTAAAAAACACCACCACCACCACCACAGTATTAGAAGTCTGCAAGTGTCATAACCTAAGTAGGATAGTAGGATAGAAAAGTATAAACGGGAAAATACTTCTGAGTGCATGAAGATGAGATAGAGCTTTGTGTAGGTGAGTTCCCTTCCCCGAAAGCAGAAAATCACAGAGAAGAAATAAAAAGTAGGAAATCACTTCTCTGGATGTTTAAATATTGTCATAATTTTGAAAAGTGATTTTTCTTGTTAATAGCTTTTTTTCTTATTAATGTGTTTCATCAAATGGAGGAAGATTGGAGAAAGTGAGAAAAAGAGAGAAGACAAGGAGGAAGACCAGGAGGAAGTTAGAGAGGGAGTAGGAAGAGGAAGATAACAGTTATTATTTATCAGATATGGAAAACGAGGCAAATGAAGGTCAAATGTGGGGAAAAAATGGAATCTTCCACTCTTAGTTAGAAGCATCAAGTGGTCAACAATACATTAAAAAAAGTAAGTGCCAGTGAAAGAACTCGTCTTGCCTATGTTCAACTGATATTCATATAAGTATTCAGATTTGGCTGATTTCTTTCACCTATAAAATGACAAAAAAAATCAAGTAATCCACTGTGATGAGAAATGACATTCTGAAAAGAAAATGTCTTTCCTGATTCAAAGCAAATAAGGAAAAGTTCTTCTCCAGAGGTGGGGGAGAGGATTACCCTGAGTTGTCTTTGCCAGTTCAGTTGTTCGTGGAATCTTAGTTGTGAAACGTTCTTGGATGGATTGGTCTGTTTCTTCTGGAGGAAACACAATAAGATTGGCTTGTTTTAAATAATTACCCTCATGAATATGACCAAAAAACACATACTGTTTTCTGCCTCATACAATAATAAAAGGATAAGTTGCATTTAGAAATACACTCAGGAATCGCAATAATTCAGTTAGTGGTACATTTTAATAACTCTCATTTGTGACATCTGCTGTCTTACATTATTATTTTAATGATTGTTATAAGGATTTCCAAAAGCTTTTAGCTCAGGATCATTGTTTCATTAATCTAGTTGTGGCTATTCTTGGATATGGCTCATGTATGAAAGTCTCCTAGTTGCCTCGATGTATTTATCTCCTTCATGTTTCTTCCCTGCCCATAAATCCCACATGTTACTTTGATGAGGTGGAAAGGAAATATATCATATGAAAAGATGTATATTTATATCATATAAACCAAATCTTCTATTTTTCTCATGTGAAAATCAGAGTGTGTGTTTGACATACAAACACAATCCTCTTGACAAAATAAAAAAAAAATACATACAGCAACACTTCCATTCCCATGTTACCTTGAAATCACACATCATACAGACACAGCAAATTACACTGTTCACTTTGCCTGTACTAGATCCAAGGAAACACTTGGTATAAATGATACACTGCTATCTTTTTGTTTTCTGTCCTGCTTTTGTATTCTCTTGATTCTGCTCAAGAAATATACTTGTGATAATTGACAGGTAATGGTTCTGACATGAATAAACCAAGACACATTAGAAAAACAGGGAGTAGAAGTTAAATAATTAGCATATTCAGTAGTGGTTTTTGAAAACTACTTTTAACTTTGCCATCATGGGCGGCATTGATTTTGTAGAAATAAGCTAGACTAGATGAATATTTGATTAGAATATATTTGCTCACTCAATTTTAATTTTTTCTTCCAAAAGGATTTTATTTTAAAATGTGATCAGTAACTTTATTTCAGTAGACACCCACAAAGGATGGATTATTAGAAAAGGAATGAAGGCAGGTAAATAAGGCCACTGATTTAAGTAAAGCCATGTGGGATGCAGTGTAGACAGGAGAGAGGCACCAACAAACACAAGCCAGGAACTCTAGCTTTTTGGTTCATTTTCAACGAAGGCAAACTAGAGTTTCCACACAGTGAACACATTTGTGTTGAACTCCTTAAAAGCATGTTCAGCTCATCCCAATGGAGCTTTCCAACCTACCCATCCTTGTTTCTCCAGGCAACTACCTGCTCATCAGTTTAGTCTAACTGTCACTCCTTGCTCTGTGCCTCTTTCCCATCTGTCTGTAACTTGAAAGAACCATTTGCATCTTTGACTGGTCAACTCTCATTCCAACTTAAAGACCCAGTGTAAATGACCCTGATCTGAGAGGCCTTTCCTTATTTCTGCAGGTTGTTTGTTCAACATGTTGCTCTTTTCTCTATCACACTCATTGTAATTAGTGTAACACTGAGGTTAATCCTAGGCACTCTGGTGGCTGAGTGTGTAGATTCTAATCCCGGCGCTGACATCAGCTGTTTCACCTTGGCCAAATTTTTAAACTCTCTATGCCTCAATTTTCTAATCTGTAAAATGGAGCAAGTAATAGAACTTACCTCACAGAGTTACATACATGGTTTAAATTTTAGAAAGGCATGTAATGGGCCGGGCGCGGTGGCTCAAGCCTGTAATCCCAGCACTTTGGGAGGCCGAGACGGGCGGATCACGAGGTCAGGAGATCGAGACCATCCTGGCTAACATGGTGAAACCCCGTCTCTACTAAAAATACAAAAAAAATTAGCCGGGCGAGGTGGCGGGCGCCTGTAGTCCCAGCTACTCGGGAGGCTGAGGCAGGAGAATGGCGTGAATCTGGGAGGCGGGGCTTGCAGTGAGCTGAGATCCGGCCACTGCACTCCAGCCTGGGCAACAGAGCCAGACTCCGTCTCAAAAAAAAAAAAAAAAAAAAAAGAGAAAGGCATGTAATGTATTGAGTGGCACAGAGGCTGCAGTATTGGAACTAAGTCCTGTCTTCATATTAGAGCGTGAGCTCTCTAGGGTAAGGACACCTCTTTAAAAGTTTCTTCTTAGAACTGCATCACTTAACTGTGCACCAAGTAAAGGCTTAATAAATACTAGATAACTAATTTTTCTTTCCAAATGCAGTTTAAAATACAGAAAAAGCAACAAAAAAGAACAGCATTGATTTAGAAACATTTTTCTTTTTAGAATACTTAAAATTTTTAAGTATTCTAAATCACAATCACCAGAGCCAATTTAACACATCTTAGATGTATTAAAACATTTTATATTGAAAATCAGCATACATATTAGGCCAAATACAGTGTCAATGTAAAAGCGTTGAGTGAAATGAATTTTTAAATAACCTATTATTTAGAAACAAGCTATGAACATAATGTATTATGGCTACTCGAAGGGAAATTCCTAAAAGACAAGCCCTCCTTGAACAAATATTAAAACGAAATTTACCCAGAATGGTCTGTAGTTCCTCTTGACTAGGACTTGGGGAAATCATGGGTATAAAAGGGATGCCTCGTGTCTCTAGAGGAGCTGCAAAAAGAAAAGGACCAAGGTTGTAAATTTTTAGATACAAAGCCAGCACCAGACCAGATTGGTATTACATGAAATTCCTCCATTTGAAATAGAAAAAGGAAAGAAGAGAGTTAAATGTGCACAAAACTTTCAGAAAAATGACTGTGGAATATGAGAATAATGGTTCTCAACTGTTTTTCCACCAGAACACATACTACATGACATTCTATTCTTGAACCAATCCATCAGAATGGCTGGTTGAGATGCGGTGTGGGTTAGACACAGTCCTGGACTATTGGCTGTAGCTTCGTCCTTGTCTCCTCCATTCAAGAGAGCATACAGGATTACAAAATGTGTGATAATATCATTGTTGGTATCATCTCCTTGAGTCTGCTTGAGCTCAGTTTAACAAATCACTGGCAATTTTTAGTATTTTGACCAATATTGATAATTACTTGCAGTATCTTTCAAACTTACCACATGCTAGTATGTTACATTACAGCTGAGAACCACTAAACCAATGGAAATTGTTAAATGGGCACCATTAGTAAACACAGTGGACTCGTATTGAAACATGGAGATAAATGAAGTAAATGAAGATGGATTCAGTAATGTCTTGAGGTAGTCTTCAAAGCAAACCCATTACGACAGTGAAATCATGGCTTTTCTATTTTGGAAAGAGTAGTAATAATGAGAATGAAATGATGAAATGAATTGAGAAGAAATGATGTTTCAACAGGATCATTTGAGAAAGGCCTGCAATCTTGATGGTAGCAAAGAAAACAGAGTTGGTTGATATGGGAAAACCATTACCTATTGTTGTCTTTGGTGGCTCAAATCTAAAGGTAACAGGTTGCAGAACTATGCCAAAAGCAAGTCAAAGGAACATATTTATGAGAATTACTACCTGGCAAAGTCAAAATAGTTTCTATATTTTTCAGATGCATTGATTTAATAATTTAAATGTTCTCTAAGAATTATAATAAATAAGAGAAAATTCTGCACATTAGATGCTAATCAGAGAACTTAGTTTAACTAAAACTTTGAAGTTCTCACTTTGGGGAAAATTTTGAGTAGGCATCCACTTTTTTTTTTTACTTAAAAGTATACCCATAGTTGTAATGTAGCTACATTTACATTTTGAAAGGATGTGAGAGTTGGCTTAGTTAACAATGGTATTGATAATTTTAGCATGATCTACTCAATGAGCCTATGTACTATTCCCTCATTTAACCAAGGAAAAATAATTCAACCCAGATGATTCAATCTACCCAAAAGGAATATGCATTTTATACCTATATTTTTCACTGAATTTCTTCCATATCACAACCATTAAAAATATATTTACTTCAAGAATTTTGTTTTTGAAAAATACACTTCTTAGCCAGAAGGATGAAATAATTAATTTACCAGGTTCGCTCTGAGAGACCTCAAGGTCTGGTTTATGAGGAAGGAGCACATCTTTTGGAGCTGAAAGAAAAAGATTATAAACACTGTGTATTCTAAATGTCCCAACTGGAGTGAGCTTAACCCACAGATAGAAAAATCCCAGAAAGCATGAATGAAGCAAAAGTATTTTTACAATGGTTAATGACCAAAGTTGAGAAGATGCCTGTTTTCTTCAAAATGGAAAAATGTTGCTATGCAGGGAAGGTTCTGGTGGCAGTGAAACAGAAATGAAGTCAGTCACAGTTCATTTTGAAGTCTTCCTTGAGGAAGAGGAGGAGATAGCTAACATAATTCAACAATGAGGTAGAGCTCCCTCAAGTGGCTTTCAAAATAGAAAGTCAGGTTTTGCACAAAGTGGTTAGCTGCTGTTTGATATTCATGCGTAAAGTCCACTAACAGCAACAAAAAATATATATCTTAAAGTACAAAAATGGCTACAAATCGAGGGAAACAATAAGAAATGGAAAAGTCTTGAATATGTAAGAAGATAACACAGTCTTATTCTAAATGGCCCTTACAGTTACTGGGGGCAGAAAATGAAGCAAAAGGAATCAACTAGTCATTAGAAGACACCACATGTAAAGTTAATGATAGTACTTATTACTTAGTAAATGATAGCTGTTGCCATTTTTGTCTTCTTTAGTGATGTGGCTTCTAGTATATTAGGTGTCAAGCATGCTCGACATAAGCATATGAAAACAAAAGACAAAAATGTCAGCTGAACAATAGGCCTACTGGTATATGCAGTCCCTGAAATCCAGTATATTTTTTAATGTTTTAGCAAAATTAAACAGTAGATTGGAAACTTGGTACCCTATTTCTCAGTGGGGAAAATATTAGGGGGATTTGCCTATTTGTTCCTACCGGATCTCTACAACAAAATCTCATTCCACAAATAGGGTAAAGTACTTCAACTCAGTTTCCCCACAAAGAGGCCCTACCCAGACCTAATCTCTCAATGAAAGGTTTTCCTACCACGCTAAGCCTTTCATACACACCACTACTTTTTTGTCAGGCAGTGTAATTTCCTTGCATCTTATATAATGCTGGAAAAAAATTATGATTCAGGCTAGAACTCTGCCTTAGAAGAAAGATGAAGAAACCTTCTTTTTAAAATTTTATTTTATTATTATGAGGTGGCCAAGCACCACTTTACCATTAGTGGAGAAATAAGTTATATAAAATGAACAATGTCTTTTTATTGTTTTTGGGAATCATGTTTAACTTGCATGCCACATCTGTTCTTAGACTACGCTGCTAGGTATTAGTGAAATTACAGTTGTGAAAACTGGTGCACTGAACAGAAACTTGACTCAGAACTTCTATGAGCTAAAAGGTAACATCCAAGGGAATTTGAAAATATGGATTGCTTTCTTAAAGAGAAAAGGAAACTTTAAAAAGATTAGTGGTTGATAAGGTAGAGAAAGCCCACCACAATACTGAACATTTTGCCTTTGCGTGTAGTTTTTTGGAGGATTTAAATAGTAAAATATAAGAAATTTCCAGCTATAAATGAAACAAAATGTTTATCTTGAGGCTGAAGAAGGCACTTTGATTTAGCTCTGTAAAGGTCATGGACATTCAAAGCAGCCTTCAGTTTATAAATATCCGAGTTAGTTACAGTACTCCACCAAACAAAAAGGAGCTGGGATTAAGGAAAGGAGAAGCTGGGAAGAGATGTGGTACTAATAAATCCACCATACTGTAAATACATTATTCACTGCTGCTCTAGCTTACTGAGGAATTTAGGCTGGGGTAATGTGGATTCCAGCTGCTAAAATTGGCACTTTTCTTTTTAACCATGAAGTGATGATTTAATAAACTGCCATAGCAGACTTCCTAAGCAGGTGAAATCAGTGGAAAGGAAAGAAATAGAAATATTTACAGGAAAGTAATATGAATCATTCTCCTACTTGGTCAACTACAGCTCCAAGAAATTCAAGTTGTTTTTTCTGTTTTTCCTATGTGGCATTCCCCTGTATATTAAACTGAACAAAAGCACGATCCCTAAAACCTACATCTTTCATGCTGGGAGAAACTCATCAATGAAAATAATGATGACAATTTTCTGAGAAAGCAGTTTTGATTTCTTTATAAGAATATTTACTATTATTATAATTTTAGATTTAATTATATTAACCAACTCCATTTATACTACTAACCAAACTGTCTTTGTTCAATAAAGCGTGCCACTCCAAAGAAAAGTCCAACTAACATAAGACAAGTAGGAATGCACAATGTCTATCATAGACAAAAGTAAATGAACATGCATGAATGTTTTGATAGAGTTAGAAAATAATTAATGTGTTTCCTCTTGACAAAGTTAGAATACGAAGTCTGCAATAAGGTTTACCCTGGCAATAGGCTACCAAGAGACTGATTCTGTTAGAAAAGTAACACGTATAGACTCCATACCCTATTCTATTCCTTTAATCTATACTCTCTATTCCTTTATTCTAACTTTGTACCATTAGGTCCAGTCTGAGAGGAAGCCCCGTAGGAGGCCACCTGCTGGCTTTCCCTGTGCTCTTGGACCACCCTCCCTTCCATCTCATTTGAGGCCTTTTACTTTCCATTATTTCTGTTACATTTCTATTTGTCCATGTTTTCATTCCTCCATGAGTTACTTGCCCTCTACCTATGAAACAGCTCGAATGCTCTAATATCCTAAAAAAGAATCATTCCCTTGACATGGCTTCTCCTTCAAACAATCCCTCTCTCTTGCTCTCATTCCTTTAATAAAAAAACCATCTATCTGCTTCTGCTTCCTCACCTTTTAGATGTATCTTCTTCATCCACTGTGGTCCAGCCTCCACTCATTTCCTGCAACAATGCCTTAATCATATTCTTAAGTCCAGAAACTCTGAAAGTTGAGTTTTCTCTTAATTTATTCAATGGCAAAACATAACTTATACTGATCTAAGGGCTGTTTATAGGTTTTAGGTCTTCTGCTTGGTAAGACTATTCATACTGCTCACAGAATACACATTAATGTTTCTAATCAATGGTATATGTACTCATGTAAGTTTCTAAAATCTGGAAACTGCTAATTCTGAAGCATACAGCCTAAAGGTTTCAGAGAATGGGATTCTGCACATGCACGGTTGAGCTGGCAGCCTCTTCTGATCCCTCTCCTTCTCATTGCCACTGCAATGCCATTGCTAAACTTCCCTTCTTAGGCCTTTTCCTGCCTCATCTCCCAGCGCCTTTCCTGGTTTTCTCTTATCTTTTTTGACATCTGGAGGCTCTTTTTCCCCTGCCTACTCCTTAAATATAACTATGCTGCCTAAATATTTGATTTCTGGCTTATTTTCTCCATCTATATTTTCTCCTCTATTATGTTTTCCAAGATTTAAGAACTATCTAGATGTAAACAAGTGGCTCCTAAATCTGTGCCCCAAATCCTGACTTCTGTTAAGAAGTCCAGACAACATTTTCAACCATCAGTTAGGGTCTTCCCACTCAAAGTCCTCCTGGCCCTGCAAGCCTAGCATGTGCACACCCATCTTTATTACTCTCTCTGTTCCCTGTCTCAGTTAATGGCATTATTATCTACCACTTGCCCAGGCTAGGAACAGCATTGCCACCCTTCTCTCCATAACAGCATTCAGTCATTCTCTAGGTCTTCATAGTTCCATATACAAAGGCATTTCAGCATTATTCCCTTAGTTTCCTTTCTACCACAATTAGTTCAATTTCTCAGACTTATCTTTCTGGATTGTTGCAAACCTACTAAGCGATTTCTGGCCTTTTTTTTTTTTTTTTTTGCCAGTTAATATTCCATTTGAAAAAATCACAGCCATCTTTCTAAAATACAGATGTAATTATATCACTCCCAAGATTACAAAAAGAAACACGCACAATTTTAGTATCTCCTAATTGTCTAAAGAAAAATTTTTTGAAGTGCTTAGCATAACCTAAAAGCCCTCAAACATATGAATCCAATTTACATTGTTTTCATCTCTCAATAATCTCATCATATGCCTAGCAGTGTAGTCATTCCGAATCATGCTGTTTCTCAGCTATATGGAGCATGGAGTCTCGCTCTGTCGCCTGGCCTGGAGTGTAGTGGCGTGAACTCGGCTCACTGCAAGCTCTGCTTCTCTGGTTCATGCCATTCTCCTGCCTCAGCCTCCTGAGTAGTTGGACTACTACTGGCATCTGCCACCACGCCTGGCTAATTTTTTTGTATTTTTTTTAGTAGAGACAGGGTTTCACCATGTTAGCCAAGATGGTCTTGATCTCCTAACCTCGTGATCCGCCCGCCTCGGCCTCTGAAAGTGTTGGGATTACAGGCGTGAGCCACCAGGCCTGGCCTGGAGTACTTTTTATACCTCTGAATCTTTGCTTTCTTAAAAATCATCAATAGCTACTTATCTATTAAAATCTATCTTAAAGTTCATTTTCTTGATAATACCTTCTCTAATTCATACATTTAGAATGTATTACTTTTCTGTTATTTCATTTTTTGTTTATATCACTAACCCATTAATTACTGAGATTTGGCTTGTTTTATAGTTATTGATATTTTTCCTGTTTTCTCCACTGTACTGTGTTGGGTGGTAGAGATCATATCTGATTCTTTTAATCCTGATTTTATCCCTAAGCATGGAACCAGGCAGATAAGTGGCAATCAATATTTGTTGAATTGAACATGCATTAGTGCATTTTTTTTTAAAGAACAAATCTGGAAAAGATGGGCAATTCCCATGAACCAGCACTGTACTTTGCTAAGCAACATTTTAAAGACTCAAATTGACCTCTCCCAAAAGTCTCTAATTCTTTTCCAGGGAATTGTAAAACAGTATTAAAAAATCTAGGCCAGGCGTGGTGGCTTACACCTGCGGTCCCAGCTACTTGGGAGGCTGAGGCAGGAGGATCACTTGAGCACCGGAGATCGAGGCTGCAGTGAGCTATGATTGCATCACTGCACTCCAGCCTGGGCAACAGAGTGATACCCTGTCAAAAAAACAAAACAAAACAAAACAAAACAACAACAACAAAAAAAAACAGAAAAGAAAGATCTAAAGAAATAATTTATTAATCACATCAGTGGCATATACAAGCTTATGGAGATTTTGAGGCAAAGAGAAAGGTACTGAGTCACTAAAATTTGAGGGGAAAGCATATTGATGTTTAATATATCATCAGGCAAATAAGCAAATTGCTGATTAACTCCTGATTTGAATTCTCATATTTGAGAAGAAAGACATCTTGCCTCTAGGAAAATTGATTTGAAAAAAAAAAAAAAAAAAGTATTTTAACAAAGGATAAATTTACATAGTACATCCTTAAGGGGAAAAAGAAGAAGCTTTAGGAAAAAATGGCAAAATGTCTAGAGGATGATAATGAAACACTGTAGAACAGTAATGATAACAGTAGGAGCTTAAGGAGGCAGTTCTCTACCCTGCTCATCCCAGCTCCTATTTTGACAAAAAGTATAAATGGAAATAATTGTTAACTATTGTTATCTTGCTTGCTCAATTCTAAATGTATTGTCTTCTAAGACTATATCAGAAAACATACATTTATTAGGTGAATGTCCAATCAGGTTTCTCCCTAATATAAATCTGGCAATATTTTAAAGTACGTAATCCAAGCAAATGATTGCTTTATGAACTCTATCATTTTAACCAATAAGGCTCAATTTTTAAGAAATATTCAGAATTAAATACTTATTCTTAATTAGTTCACAAAAAACTCCCCTTAAAACCAGTTTAACTGAAAACATAAAACTACAGAAATCCTGAAGAGTGTGACTACAAATAATTTTCCAAAGGGAAGAGACACATGGAACATTCATAAGGATTTGGATAGCTTGCTGAAATCTAGATTTTCTTCCTGGTTTCCTCCTGATGACTGAAATCTATCCCAATGCCTGGGGGCTGGAAGGTTGACCACAAAGCCAAGACAGGTCTTGGTGTAGAAAGGAACTCATAAGGAAGACAGAGCTCTGTTGAGCCAGGAACCTCCTGTTTAGACTCCAAGTTAAATGGCACCTATTTTCTAGTGAGGGAGTTATTTGCTCTGAATTCTAAATCATTCTTCCAAGGTAGATGTGGAGAAAAGTCACTTTCATTTTGGTGTGGGCAGGGAGTGTGGGCTCAATTTGTCAAGATTCCTCATTAAATGTTATAGATAATTCAACTGAGTGGCTGGAAGGGTTTTTCTAAAGGCCTCACTGGATGAAGCTGGTGTTATGCCTAGGAATCTACAGAATGGAAGTGCTGTACAATGAATCTGAGACTGACTTCCTCTTTGATAAGGTCAAGAAATCCAAGTTTGTAACTTCTGATCTCTCTCAGAATAAATCTTGAGATAAATGTCACAACGAAATATAACGCTGTCCTGAATTCAGCACTACATTTTAAATTTTTAGACTTTTACAGAAGAGTTTATTTCTCCAGGATGCTAATACATATTAAAATACACATGTCATTTACCCTGTTTTTTTGAAGTATAACCCACAGGACCTGGTAAACAAAGTATTGGGTTCATTAGGGTATGAATCTGAGCCTAGATAAAATCTAAAAACTGTCTGAACACATCAGAATCCAATGTGTTTGAACACTTCTGAGAAAACTGAAATGTAGTACGAGTTGCCTTATGATTATTCCTGGGGGTGCCACACCCCTGGGGCAAGGGAGAAGAAGCCTGATCATATGGCAGGGCCAACACCAGGTTTAGGGACAGAACCTTAACTCTGAACATATGGAGCTGGAGAGGTGACAGAAGACCACTAAGACAGGCCCTAGTTCTCCAGGAGGCAGTTCTCTACTCTGCTCATTCAAACTCCGGATAAAACGTATAAATAGGGATAGTTGTTAACTATTTGTGTTGTTACAGGGATCAAGATCACAGGTTAGAGTTTCTATGAAAAACAAGGTGTTGGTAGAATTAAGGCAAGTTTTTTTTTTTTTTCTTTCCTGCTAAAAGTGGTTTGCTCTTTATAACTTAGCTGTGGGAGAACATTTGAAGAATGTGGTTGAAGAGAAGGACTAGCTAACAGAAAAGATTTTAAAATAAATACCTTAAAAATAATTTTATGATAGTAAATTCCAAAGGTATATGAAAGTAGAAAAATAGTAGAACGAATTCTTAAGTACTCACCACCTGGCTTCAATAATGGCCAACTTATGCCCAGTAGGGCAAATATTAAAAGAGGAAAAAAACTTAACTATTCAATATATTGGTGTAATGAGATTATACCAATAATATTATTTTTTATACTGAAAAGGGAAAGTAAATAAAGTCACTCAAATCTACTGTTATGGATAACAAATTAATTTCCATTACATTCATTTCCACAATTGAAAATAAGCTGATCTTTTGCAAGTGAGATGAGGTTTTTTTCTTACTTCCTATTTATAATATTGGCTATTGTGTTTGGGGTGGTACAAATTTACATTCTAGACTTCAGGGCAAAGGAGATTCTCTCTAGCCTGCTACCACCACCACCACCAAATTGTCTATACCACAGCAGCAATAATAGCCTTTGCTTATACAATCTGGAAAACATTATAGCAAGTGAATTCAGGCTTGCTTCCAAAATGCTATCATTTTATACTATAGCTTAGAAATTATTTGGCTCTGGGAATGTTCTATATGCTTTTAGGAGCATTTAGGAATTTATGATAATTGTACCTTTAAAAAGAAAGAGAAAAAACTCACAGTATTTCCCAGATTCTCTAGTTAAAAATGAGCTTGGCTTTTTAGAGAAAGTTGTTCAGTTACCAGTGGCTTCCTGAGGCCACTTGAAGACTTCATGTAAATAGTGGTGGTAATATCCATGAAATGTCTGGGCCCTTGGAATCCCTACCCTGGATACTACACAAACACGAGATTACCTTCCCCATATGTGAACAAAAGGCCTTCTCAGATGATTGGCAAAAAACAGATTTGTAACTAAAGAAACCATTGAGTGTATGCGAAAGAAATTTCTTAACCCAAGCTATGTCTCCATAAAATAGAATGTGACAGGGAAAAAACTCAGTGTGGACATAGTACAATTTACGTATCCAAGTAAATGACTAAACATCATTGCCTCTATTTGTAAAAACACTAATTTATCATTTGTAGGGAAGAGCAAAAGTCTTTATCTTTGTGTTTAGTGAAATATTTGAGCATAGCATAGCTAGAATTGGCAGCATTTTTTTGTAAGTCAGGGAATAAGAGAACTTTAGTTCTAGGAAAGACATTCTAACCTTGGCATAATTCTCTGCCTTTTGACTGCGATCACAGCTTTACTAGATGAACAAGTGGACACTCTTATGAAACTTCTGAAATTATACCACATATGATACAACATGGGATTTAAAAATAAGTGAAATATTGACCTCACTTCCATCAAGTCTCATGTTTCACTGAAGCAGAGTGGGGCAGTCGAACGCGTTTGGCTTAAACATGAAATAAAGCATTTACCAGGTGTGGTGTATGACACTTCTGGACTCGGTGACGTTTTTGGTTTTGCAGTAATATGCGGGGGCCCCTTAGGAACTGAAAGAGAGAACTCATATTGTAAGTCATTTGGTTTCAGCACCTTCCAGTCATGCTTAACACATAAGGCATGCCAAGGTGTAGCCTGAACACTGACAAAACAAAGTATTACCCATATGGGAGTCAGACAGAAGACCAATCCTTAAGCTCTACAAATAGCTTAGTTAGAATTCCAGATAATTATAGAAGAGTGAAATCTGAGAAACTGCAAAATTTCAAATTACAAAGCATCAGAGTAAGAGGACGACTTTTTAGAAATCTATTTCAGAGGAGACGGCAACTGAATGCATGTAAGAGAGCTTTTCTTTACTGGACATGTTTGCTTGACTTCTCCTTAAACCCATTTTTATGTCTTTCCTTAAAGACAAAGTAGGTAAAGATGGTGAGGTCAGGGTGGAATCCTATGGAGCATGGATATGCTTGAAGTCCTCTCGGGCAACAGCAGACTGGGAAGCAGACAATGCAATGGAATGGGCTGGTTCACATCTTACCCGCCCTGCATTTCTCTGGCCCCAGAGAAACCTTCAAATGAATTTGTTGACAACTAAAATTAGATTTCCACAACTGTTCCTTGGGAATAATAAGGTACTAATATAATAGACACCAGGAAAATAAGTCTAACAATTATAGTGTATTCTACGATTTCAAAAGTGCTTTTATAAGGTTTACACCCTTTGAGTCTCACCATAATGTTGGGAGGAAGGAATTATTAGCTACACTTTAAAGCTGAGGAAACAGAGCTTCGGGTGTGTGACAGCATCTGCTCGAGGCTATGGTTAAGTACCAGAGTCAGGACTTGAACCAAATGCTGAGGATCAAACATTATCAATAGGTCTAAACACTTGGGCTCTCTATATCCCAGTTCTGCAGGGCAGATTTTCACTTGCTTCTCATTTTTTAAGGTGAAATAATAAACCCGCCCTAACTCAAGATATGGTTATAAGAATCCAATGTGAAATGTCAAAATGATGGGAAAATTACACTATTATAATTTTTTTCCACCTCTCAAGGAGCTTTACAAATTTGGTTTTGAAGAATCTGAGTATATTCTGATTTTCACATTGTTTGCCCATGCAAACTCTAGGAGCACCCATAATTTTGATGGTTATAAGAAATTCTAGGCATCCAATTAACAATAATGTTGCTATTACTTGTAAACACTGGGATCTAAGAAATCAAACTTTATTGACTTATCAAATATTCCCTATGCATTTTTTCAGATTTTAGATCTCATTTTGCCTCTGAATGCCAAGTATAGATTTAAACGTTGCCAATTTATAAACACGCTTTCAGTAACACTAACAATAAAGGTGACATGCCCAAATTACAGAATCTTATTATGTGAAAGGTGGCAAACAAAATCTGCTGCACTTTAAGTTGTAAATACTATTGATAGATGATATTATAGCCCAACAACAATAGTTTGTATTGGTATCATGCATACAAACAGGACACTCTCCTGTCCAAATGACTTTTTGAAATTTGCAGGAACCAGCCAAGGGTAAGGGAAGAAGTATTAGAATTTGACTATTTGTCTTTAAAATATTTTGTGATATATACGTGTACATATACACACTTCCTTGAAAAACTATCAAAATCCAGGATACTGCTGGAACCTATTACACGAGTCACATTCTTGTGGGATAAGGAGGTCTCAATTCTACCCACTTTGAAAAAGAATAAGTAGAATGCATTTTGTTTTTCACGACCAGTTTTCCAAATTGTTCCCTTACATTAAGCAGCACTGACAAAGCCAGAAGTGTCTGGTTTGCAGCTACTTTCCACAAGAGATGCTGATGGACTGGAAGTTGCTTCAATCGGGACATCAGAAGGCTCTCTCACTACAGTCTGGCAGCCACTCCAGGGTTTCAGAGTTAAGAGAGTGGAACTCACTGAGCACGTGAATCTCTGAAGAGCCTGTCTTGTCAAGAAAGGTTGGCTAAAAGTCTAAGTCAAAATGAAATAAATTTGAAATTTAGAATATAGTATAATAATGGAAAATTAGAGCAAGCTCCTGATTTACTAAACTGCATTTTAATAAAAAGTATAAAGTGCATCTCAAAAAGATAAAATTGCAAATAATTTTGTCCTATTACTTCATATCTCCTTTACCTTAAAAATTTTGTACTGACCATGATTCATGCCTGAGCATTTTAATTTTTAGTATTTATTTTTCATCTTTTATAGTTCAACATTCAGGTTTTCATGCTTTCTTCTTCCCATTTGTTTTCTACTTTTGTTCTATGCTTTATATTCAAATCCAAAGCTGAGAGCTTCTTCTCAAATAATTTTGTCTTTTTTAAAGTTAGATTTTAGTTTCCTATTATAACAAATTTAATATACTTTAATAATTTGGCATATTCTTAAAACTTTGATGTTTTTATTCATATTCATTATTATTCACTAATCATTATTTTCTCAGACTTTTAGTATGTTAATGTTTCAAATGTATTATTTAAAATTTCATATTATTTTGGAGGAATGCTGCCTTGGTACCTTCATATATTTATTATCAGAATAAATTATTTTCATAACTAAGTTTTAGTAATTAGAACATATTTAAAATTGTGCTAAATAAGGCAGAATTAAAATCATAGAAAAAATTTAATGATGGGTAAAATTTCCCTCAATTGATATTAGAGACCACACCTAAAACTACAGGGGTTTTCTTTTCCCCTGCAGAAAAACAACAATGACAGTACCTAATGGCAGAGGTTCTGAGGTATGAGTAAAATATTTGTGGTGGGAATCAAGAATCACCACCTGGATCAAGCATGATGTGACGGTGCTAAACATTTTCCTTTCCCCAGACCAGATCAGTGGTAGCAAAGGTTCCTTTCCCGGTATCCTGGGTGGGTACACCTCACACATTTCTTGTAGTCAGGCCATGTATTGAGGAAAATGTCAAATTAGATGATTGACAGAAGGAAGCACATTCAGGAATAGTGGAAGGGATAGGAGTGTAGTCTCAGGCCGGGGAAGGAAAAGGAAGTAGGCAGGCTACTCTTTCTAAGCAATGCCATTCATGTCCACCTCATCTTCAATAACACAACATTAAGGGAAGCTTTGTGGAATAAGCTCTTCCAATGATGTATTTTTTCAGTAAGTCCAAAAAGAAATTTAAATGTTTATTAGGTTACAGAGGAAGACTTGCTTTGCAAATGTTAAAGACTCAATCTGCTATCATAACTATTAATGAACAATTTGCTAGAATAAGCCCACTAACCTCAAACTTTTCAAGCTAAAATGTAAAATATATCTTTACCTGGTTGTGTTTGTGGAATTCTTGGGCGTGGCGATGTTTTTGGCTTAGGAGGAGCACGTGGTGTCTGCTTGGGAGCTAAAAGAAAGGATATAGGTTCGGAAATCTTGAGCCCTTCAAGAATGACAGTACCTAAGCCTCTAGAAGCTCAGAGATGTTTACCGAATGGCTGAAGACCTAAATACCCAACGATTAAGGCTCCTAAAGATCTGTAAAGTGTAGGAAGGCAACTTTTTTATGTAACAGAAAACAAAACAAAAAGTCACATTAAATGATATCTAAGATGTTCAGCTGGCAAAATGAAACTTGGGATTTCAGAAATACTGACATCAAATACCTTTTAAATAGTTCGAAAATAAATTCATAACAACAAGAATTCATCCTTATTGTAAGTTCATATAATTTTATCAGAATATTTAGTTGTACTCTTTTAAATGCAAATACATGTTTTCTAAATAAAAAACAAAGTTAACAAGTTATAGTCCAAATATACAACATATTTTAATAGCAAGTGCTAATGGAAAATTAATGTTACTAAACAAAATGCAGTTTTATTGGTTATATAGGGGAAAAGAGGGAAGATAAATTGAACATCAAGGATATTTTCTATGGAGAGTTATTCCTTTGCTGAGCAAATCCTAAAGAAATTCTAGGACAATCAGTGTAAAAACCAATTTTTTCTTCACCAAAAAAATGAAAAATCTATCCTGCTGAAGGAAAGGGATTATCAGATGCAAGGTTGCAGCTTGTGGAAACACCTCATCTGGTTGAACTAAAATGTGTTTGGGATAAAGAAAGGTAAGAAGAAACATGGTCAATGTCATGTAGCTTCAGACACCTTAAGAAAAACTTGCTGAAAGTTAAGAGTTATTTGACACCAGAAGTTTCTGAAGGAGTCTGCAGAATCTTCTTCCTGATACTAAATGAAAAAACACAAGGTATACAATGGTTTCAGTGGAATCTTCTTGCCTGTAGAGAGATGAATACTGATAAATGTTGGAGATGATCTGGTTTAGAAGCCTGGAACCTGGGGGTTTAGAGCTCCCTTTGCTAATTACTGGATCTATGGTCTCAGGTTCTTCACCAAAAGTTACACAATTTTTAAGAACCCTTCCAATCTTAAAATTCTGTCATTCTAGAGTTTCTCACAGTTTGTGATTTTCTGATTCTCAACTACCCTACTTGCTAAGGTTCTAACTGATATGCCACTTACTTTCCCCAGAGGATAAGAAAGACCATCTGAAGGTTAGGCATGTCATGAAGCAATTCCATGAAAAACGATACAGAATGAGATAAGAATCACTAATAGCAGTATTTACAATGAGACATTCCAATAATATTATTATAGTTATTAAGAACAAAATTTGGAAAAGTTAGGTATAACTGTCAGATTTCATTATTTTAGTCAATGTAGGTTTTCTTTTTTGTTAAAAAACTGTAGGGTTTATAGGCAACATCTAGTAGGATATTCAGCAGACAGTGAGTAAACTTGAAATCCGCATCTCCCTTTGAAACAGAGTAATATAAAAATAATTTACTGACAATCGAAACAGAAGTTTGGGTTTATTTATAACCTTCTATTACATTGAAACCTATAGCTATTAAGAGGATTTTTTTAAATAAGAGGCATATTTAGTTATTCATGTTGATTATTTTTCATTCATTTCAAACTCCACTTTGGCTTATCACAAAGGTTTTGTGATAAGCCAAAGTAATTGTTTTGATTTTGTTTTTTCTTATTTGTGTGCAGTGAAATGGCCAAAGCACTGCAGAAAGGAGTGGAAAGAAGTAAGGTATCTGAATAGCTACAAGGTGACTGGCCAGTACACCCCCTTTTATGTGGATTGCAGTCAAACCTGTTTCTGGAGGTTTCTTTGAAAGTCAAACTCAAATCAGAAAGCTTAAAATACTTTTTACATGATCACAGAACTTGTAAAACTAGTTGAGATGAATTGGAATTAAAATCAGAATATACATATTTTAAAATGGAACAGAATATAAATGTTCTTCCCAGAAGCATTCCTATTCCCTGAATTAAACACTTGCAGAGTAACTGAGAGGTATTTTTCAACCATGTCCTAAAGAACAACACTGCCGTTTGAGTAATTATCAACGACAGCGGGACATCAGACAGATAGGATTACCCATCAAAGTCTGTGGGCAGAATGATAAAGTCAGGGCCTCTGATGTCTTGAGGTGACCATGCTGACATTCTGTGAACACTCACCTCATATATGACATACAAAATAACGTATTTACCGGGTTCAGTCTGAGGCTCATCTGGGCTGGGTAGGGTTATAGATTGAGAAGGCAGAGGCGACGTTTCTATGGTAATTGAAGGAAAGTACGCGGGTTACTATAGCACTCGACAGACCTTGAGTACAGATAACAGGCAGGATGGTAACAAATACATTTTTTAAAATAAAGAAAATTGCAAGTCTGCAGCAAAACAGCATTCCTACTCCTTCATAATGCATTTAGTTAAAAAAAAAATGGTTGCAGATGCAGCTTACAAAGTACTTCTAAAATTCTCATTTCACATTAGAACTCTACCTCCTCAACAATGCCAGAAAGATATATTCAATAGGAATCATGAAGGGAAAAAGAATTTTAAAAATATTATAGTATGAGTCATTTAAGCAGCACTGACTTTCACTTAAAGAATGGAGAAGAAAACCACGTATGTAAATAAATGTGATGGGATGAGTGTTAATGGAAAGTATGTTGCTAGGTCAGAAAGTATAAATGGATCATCACACCGAAAAAGCATTATCTGAAACATTCGACACAATGCCAAGCTGGCAGGATGTACGGTGTTAGGAAAAAAAAAATTTAGATTCAACAGTTCTGCTGACTTTATGGGAGGAAAGACATTTTTGGACAATGGTTATGGATAGGAGCACCTTGAAAGAAAAGCAACTGCCATGGTGAAGAGTGACGGTGTAACGTGAATTCACAATGAGATAGACCCGGAGGTTCTCAGGCGATGGTGGCAATGAGGACAGAAAGCACACAGCGTTGGGCTACCGAGGTTATTACCTAGTGTGGTCTCAGGTGGTTCAGACACATATGTAACAGATTCCACAACTGTGCCAAAACAAAGGAGAAAAATTTTAGAAACTAAGATATTAAGCTATAGTGAAGTATTTTTGTGAATATCAAACTTTATTAAGAATTTGCATCATAATTTTACAGACAGGACAATGGATTTAGACAGGAAAAAAGAATTAGGAGAAAAATCCTATTCTATAATACTAATTCACCAATTAATATTTATGTTTTAATTGTCATTAACTGGGTTTCCAATGTTATTATACCTCAACCTTTAGACTTCAGCAGAGAAACAGGAATTTATTTCTGTATTCAGAGACAGTCAATTATCACCTTAAGAATTCAAGAACGTTGGAAGCTATAGCTCTTCAAATCTGTTTGTGAATCAATGTCATATTCCATGGATGTAACTGAGGTTAATTTAAAATGTGTAGAAAAAATGAATCTAAGCATTAAAACCTTTGCTACCTTCAGTCTTTGGCTCCTCTGGCCAGAGTGGTGCTTTGGCAGTGGGATATACATAGTCTGTTTTGGCTGGTGCTAGGGAAGAAACGGGAATGGCTGGTTAGTGGTGGGCAGCCCAAAGCATGCTGTAATAGAACCCTGCATTTAATTTGAAAAAGAATTGAGCTATCTTAAGCAGATACACTCTTGAGAATAATTAACATTTAGGTAGATTATGAAGATGACCACAATTTAGGAGGGCACAATGAAAGCAGGAAATGAAGGCAGTGCGCTATGTGGGAAACGCACACCCCATACACAATGTATGGGAGACTCAACAGCAATTCTACCTGGAACAAAGCAGATAATCCCACTTTCACTTTTTTTTTGTATAAGAATTCCAGTTAGAAACACACATAGAATGAGTACTTGGAGAGCAAAAGCATGGGATGAATCCTAAAAGTGATGTGAAAATGAAAAATAGGTTGGGCATATATGTACATATTCATATTGAAAGAGCAATCAGAAAAGGTTAAATTTTTCACTTTGAGTGAGAATAAGGAAATTATGAAACTTGCATAGCAATACAGCAGATGTGAACACAATGTGCTGTATACAATGACATTCAAGACCCATTGGATGAGCACAGCCAAGCTGGGAGGAGCAGGTGGCTATGAAATGTCACAAAGCATGAGGACATCCAGAGATGACTTTGCAATGAGATGGAAAAGCACATATGCTTGACTTCCCATTGGGGAACATTTTTACCTATAGTCTCCTTTGGTGACTCAGTACTAAATGTAACCGATTCCAGAACATCAGAAACTAGTAAAAAACAGAAAATGGTACAATTGATAAAGGATAGGTTGTAAGTACTTACAAAAGTGCTTTGCATCCTGTACGTGTTCAATGTTAGGATAACAACATTATTAACACTAAGGGAAGCTCTCATAACTGAACTGAATTCACAACATTATAACTACTGTAGGTTACCATTAGCAACCTACTTTGTACATTCAACATGAGTACCAAAATGTCATTTATCTAATTAAAAGATACTCAGAAGAGATGGAAAGAAATTACAGTCCTATACTAGAAAAATATACGGATCCAGTGTTTTAAAATAAATGTCAGGAAGCAGCAACAACATTGCTAATACTGATTTTTAAAATTTGCATCCATTTTTTTACCCAGACTGGGTCTGGCTTTATCAACCAGATGGGTAGGATGGCATGAACATGGCTCACTGCAGTCTTGACCTCCTGGGCTCAATGGTCTTCCCACCTCACCCTCCTAAGTAGCTGGGACTACAGGCGTGCACCACCATGCCCAGCTAATGTTTGTATTTTTTGTAGAGTTGGGGTTTTGCCAAGGCTGGTCACAAAATTCTGAGCTCAAGCAACCCACCAGCCTTGGCCTACCGAAGTGTTGGGATTGCAGGTGTGAGTCACTATGCCTGGCCTATTTACAGGCTTGAAGGGCAGTATGTTTTAAAGAGTACACATTGTTTATGAGGAAATTTATTATTTTTACTGAAGTGAGAAATTTCTCCTTCCTTGATGGTCACATTTGAACTAGTGTTCTTTTAGCACAAATTTAATTTACTATTAAAGAGAGCCACAAACTTGTAACTGTTGAAAAAATAAGGATAAATAATAAAATTAGTTCTTCTAAGTGGTTTGTTAACCACTTAATCAGATATGTGATTATTTTTAGAATGATACAAATGCAAAGTATTTTTATACATTCAAGTAGTAATATTCATGTATTACTAACAATATGCAATCACAAAATTGTGCAATATTTACAATTAATGTGTATTCCTTTTTCATTTTTTATCTTTGGAAATAGAACTTAGAGAATTACAGTGTGCCTCTTAAAGCACACAGTATACCCAGACAAATAAAACAATCTATTTACCAGGTTGACTTTCTGTCATTTCTAGGCTTGGTGATGTCACCGGTTTCAAAATAAGAGTTTGCAGGTCAGTGGGAGCTGAAAGAAGAGGGTCTCAATTGTAAAAGTAATTTTATTTATTTCATAGGAAGTTTTAGACAGAGGTAGCAGTGACTAACACACACAGACCCTGAAAATCATGAGGTTACAGAGAGCCATACAGAATGTGCCCTGTTTAAAGCAGATGTCAGCAAACTATAGCCCTTCCAAGTCTAGCCCTCTGCCTGGCTTGTGGGCCAATAATGGTTCTCACATTTTTTTTTAAGTGATGGGAAAAAACGAAAAGTGATATTTCATGACACGTGAAAATGGTATGAAGTTCAAATAAAGTTTTATTGGAAGACAGCCATATAATGAACTAAAATTGTTCAGGGCATATTCATGTATCAGCTTTGGTTGCCTTCCAGCTAAAACAGCAGAATTGAGTAGCTGTAACAGAAACCGAATGGCCCACAAATTCTAAAATAGTTATTGTTTAACTTTTCACAGAAAAAAAAATTGCTGACTCCTGATTCAAAATATCCCTCTGAAAAAGCAGGAGCCTATTTGGAAAATTAAGTTCTCATGGACTATTGTATCTGAATCTCAGTTCCCACAAGAGCTAAGAGCTGCCTATAACTGATTTCATGATAGTAACATTAACAAAATGTTGAATATCATCTAGGAGCGCTTTGTTCTATATTTTAGTTTCACCATCCCCTTAGCCACCCTTAACAAGTATTGACACTTATTTTATTTGCGCTGTTCCCACCCTTCCACCCTATAATCCAAATCCTATAATTATTTCAAAGCCCAACTACTCTCTGTCATCAGCCCACATCGTTCCTTGACTCCTGTAAATATTGTCTGTTTTTACTACTCAAACAAGCAGTTCTCATAGGAGGAAATTGCTCTATATCTAGAAAACTGTATCTAAGAAAACCTTAGGGTTTCTTCACAATTACTTTGTACTGTAAGACGTAAAATCTGTCCTTTCTTCCGGTTTCTACCTCTGCTCCTTATTCCACCCCATTCAATTGTTAATATGGTGCTGGGTACACAAAGAATGAGGAAGTGATTGTTTTCTTAAGCAAAAGTAGCAGCACCATTGAGAAAGAGATGAATGAAATGGAACAAGAACTGTGTAAGATCCATCCTTTGTTAGATACAGTCCTTATGCAGGGCACACGATGAATTTAGCCACTGGATAGATCTCCCTCAGCTATCAATCTAATAATGAGTCCTGTAATTGTCAAGCTGTTGACCACTATAAGTGCCTTTTCTCTTTGAAGGCACAGAAATGGGAAGATATTCAAGCTTATTTTGATACCTGTGATTCAAGTGCAATGGGCTAGAGGGACTCCTTAAACCTTCTAAAACCTAAACCATAGATTTTTGTTATTTCAACTGAGAGGCTTTAGGGAGTTTAAGGTCTGAGGGATGGAATAACCCCTATTCATCCTCCTTTCTGTTTTTGAAACTAAAAGATGATGATCTTGGGTTGCTATAGTGTTTGTAGGTCTAGAAAGCATTGAAAGCATTGTATGTAGACCTATGTTTTCTAAAACAGGTTAGATTTTCTTGAGTTTATTTCCTAAATTAAAAAAAATTACTACTTTGTTTCTGCTCACTAAGGGTTCCCTTAGAGACCCTTAGTATGAAGTTCAAATATCACATATGAAGTGATTAAAGGAATAAATATTGAACATGTGTAGATATTCAGAGGGATTCCTACTTAGCAAAGATTAAGAGCCATTGCTAAACTGTGGTGAAGAAGAGTGGTCAAGCTCATTAGTGATTGAGGAGCCTGGAACTTTCAGGGAAAAGCTATTTTAATGTAATAGGGACACCTTATTCCTTAAAATAGGAAGAAAATAATGAGACTAAGACACAGGTTTTATAGAAACTAAGTTACTCAAAGGGAGTTCATGGTACTTAATTGTTGCTTTATAGATCTAAATACCAAATGGAAGGGTATTTAGGTCTATAAATACTAAATACCAATTTGGATCTCAGATTTAACACTGAATCATATGGTGCAATTTTAAAGAGAGTTTCACGATGGACAGCTGTCCTTCACTGGGTCCAGGGACATCTGCGAAAAACAGGTAACACGAAGACTGCTGACTATTTTAAAATGAAGTGTAGAATGGAATAACAGCGTCTTAGGAAGCAGAAGCAACTCCGGCCATGATGGTGCTCAAGTAGGTTTTTAAACAGCAATAAAAAGCATTTGATGCAAGTCACAAAAATCATTACCAAATGTTGTTTCTGGAGCATCAGTTCTATGAACAACAGGTTCAAAGCCTGTAACAGAAACTAACCAAAAGCAACATTAAAAAAAAAACCCTCAATTTTTATTGTCAAACATGAGTTTTAAATTAGACACAATTTTTTTTAAAACTTTGGAATTGATAGGAAGCATATAGTTGCTTTTGGAAGATTTGGCCACACTAGCTAGAACAATTCATCACAGAAGGGAGTTACAATCTTTGAACTCTGCTACATATATTGATATTATCCACATGAGGTTTTCCTAGGTATTTGGTTTTCTAAGTAGTATGGATGTTTGCTTTGGAAATTTGTTTAGGCAACAGATATGAAAATATATAGAGAAATATATACGAAAGTAACTTGTTGCTTTTCTTGGAAGTTGAAAAAAATGCCTGTTTATGTAACCATGTCTATAACAAATGGATCACATGTTTCAATGCAGATATAGCAATAAATACCCATGAGTACGCTAATCTCGCTGTAAACACACCTTTAAAGAGGGACCAAAAACGTCATCCAAACCAAGTCATTTAGGAGATCAGGCACACAAGTGTCCCCAAGCCATGTTCTCCTGGACGGCTCTGTATGAGAAGCAGCTGCTACCATGTCAAATAATTTGATTCTTAGAAAACATGATGACTGTTACTTCCTGTCATAGGCATTTTGTTAGGACTTCATTGGGACAGCCCACCGGGGTTCAGGTTCCTTGGCTCCTTAAACCAAGGATTCATACATTTACCCGATTTGTTCTGAGGTACTTCAGGACTTGATGTAGTTTTGGGTCTGGGACGGGGACGACGTGTCCGTTGTGTTTTAGGAGCTGAAGGAAGAAACTTTGGATTACTCTAGTGCAGGTGGCTTTGGAGACAAACTTTAGGTTTTTAAAAGTACGTCATATTTCCTTGAGATTTAAGTCATATGTCTTTTAAGATTAAAATATTTTCTATTTTGTTAATTTTTTTAATCACTGAAAGATTCTTGAGACAGGAAACTTATGTATAAAATCAAGTTGAAAAGTGAAGAGACTCATACATCTTTAACTTCAAAAACACTAGAGCCAAACTCTGGATGATAGAATCTTAGGCTCACACTAAATCTTTTGAGTATGCCAAAGAATCCATGATACCATAAGAACTGTTAGAGTTTAGTCAGTTTAGATAAGATATAGCCATCAGCAACTGGGTTTGAAATTTAGCTTTAGACATGAATGCTGTTTAGACAAAAGCAGATGACACAAATTCAAATAAGATTACATGGTAGACTCTGAACTAGGTCCATGCATAGCTTTTGAAAATAATAGGTAACTTGTAAGGATCACTAATACTCTAATATAAGTTGAAGGACAATATAAAGTTGAAGGACAGCAGAGGATGACAAGATAGTCCTACAAAGCTGATGACAATGTGATTATGATAATGATGGAACGGATTTGAAAATAAGCAGGGAAAAATTATTCAGGAATACAGAATATCATTACCTAATGTTGTTTCTGGAACCTTGGTTCTAAAAGTGTCAGGTTCAAGGACTGTAGTAACAACTAGACAAAAATAATAAAATAAAGCAAAGAGATTTAACTTGAATATTAATTTCACACGTCAATTTTTAAGCTTCAGAACTGAGAGAAAAGTAAGACTTGTTTTTTGCAGATTTGGCCAAACCATGGTCAGGCACTCATTAGTCTCGTAAGATAGACTTGCAAGATAGCATTGCACTCAGTTTAATATCACTATGTGGTCAACAAGACATTCTCCTAGATGTTTGATTATCTGATTCTTGCTACATATTAGTGGAAGATTGTTGGATAAGCTTTTTACACATTTGCATAATATATGCTTTTCTAACTTTACTGAAAAAGGCATTTATCAGTCTATTTGCACTTCTATAGAAGTTGGGATAAATGTCTTGTTATCTACTGTTTAAATAACTACGGGTACAATAAAGAGTTCATATGTATGAAAGCATAAAGAACACCATGTAATTAATAAACTGTGCTCATCAAAATCTCAAAGTATTCCTTGATTCAGTAAAAGTTAAGAAACTGTTAAACCTTAATAGAGATGAATAGTCAGTCTATCCTATTATGGAAGCCTATCATTAAAACTTTCAAGACTTAGGTACATTTTACAATTTGAGAATTTACTATAAACATCATTCCTTGAAACAAAAAAATAAATGTTACACAGATCCTAATATAATGAAAAACAATATGAGCAAAGAAACACTGTGCTTCCCTATAATTGATGAGGAATAAGCAGCATAAATAAGGGATAGCTGGAGATTCATGTTTCAAATGCAGCTTAAAATGGTCAATGCCATCGAAACAAATGCACATGATCGCATGACATAACGTTGAACAGTTAAAAGCAGTTTGATGTCCTGATACTAGTTCATGCACAGTTCTCTCAAATTCAACTGATAATTTGACATAGAGTCTAGCATAATTTCAAGATAAAGACTATAATGGAATGATGACAAAGAATGACAGAATGGTCTTACGATGTAGAAGAAACTGACTACAGTGGTATGACAATAAGCAGGAAGAGCACTATTTGAAGGACACACATTCTTATTACCCATGGTTTTTGGAGCTTCAGTTCTGAGAGTACCAGGTTCAAGATCTGCAACAGGAACTAATTAAAAGCAATGAAATAAACACTTGTGAAAAGCCAGTAAATTATATCTTTTCAGTATAATACTGCTTCAATCAGTATATAGCAATTTTAAGAAATTTTCTGAAATTTGATACTTGTTATTTGAAGATTTGGCCATCTTATAGCCAGATAAACAATTTTTTAAGAGGCACTTACTCACAGCCTACACAATTTGGCACACATCTCAGTAAAGCCCACATAATATTCTCCTAGGTGTCTGAGTACTTAATTCCAACTAGAAGACTTCCTTAGAAGCTTATTCAGGCATTTTGCCAAATATATACTTATCTAACTGTCCTAGTAACTGTTGGCATGTTTGTGGAAGCTTTAATAGTGTGTCTAAATGAGCAAGAATATAGTCAACAGCCTGTTTGAGAGAAGACACAGCAAAGAATAAAGCAAAGTGAATCTTAGGGAGATTTCATTTGCAGTAAAGGCACTCAACAAATCAGGATAAGGGACAAACACGCAGAGTAGCTCTCTACTCCCATCATAAAAATGCGGGACCCTAGATGGATGATGCTTCTTGGGTCAGATGCAGACTTTCGAGTCATATCTTCAAGGACTTTCTTCAGCTGCTCTTATAAACCCTTCCAAATGCAGCTGTCATCACTACTTAGAAGCAGAATCCTGTGTGTTTCTGGAAGCCTGTGCCCTCTGACTTGCCTCTACCCCCTCCTGTCTTTCTGACTCTCTTCATCTCTAAGATTTTAAGACCCAACTTCTTTCCAATTATTTATTCTTATTCTTCATAACATTTTCTTTTTCTAAGCTTATAGATGTGTACAGAACCCCTCAAAACAAGTTCAATTTGCCCAGATACACTCTCTTGCTTCAATCTTTGGGACAGGTTTTGACCTTGACTATACTACAGAGTAAGATGTGAAAAACAAGCTTCCTCCTCCTGTGATAGCCTCACAGTTGTTGATGTGGCTGTGGGAAGACAGAAGGCACTTAAATATTTTTCTAGAAATAAAAATGCAAGTTCTATTTAAGGCATTTTGTCTTTATGAGGACAATTGAATGAAATAAAAAGTAGTAAATAAGAGGTGGGGTGTGGTGGCTTACGCCTGTAATCCCAGCACTTTGGGAGGCCGAGGCAAGCAGAACATGTGGTCAGGAGTTTGAGGCCAGTCTGACCAACATAGTGAAACCTGTCTCTACTAAAAATACAAAAATTAGCCGGGCGTGGTGGTGCACGCCTGTAATCCCAGCTACTCAGGAGGCTGAGGCAGGAGAATCACTTGAACTGGGAGGCAGAGATTGCAGTGAGCTGAGATTGTGTCATTGCACTCCAGCCTGGGCAACAGAGTAAGACTCTGTAAAAAAAAAAAAAAAAAAAAAAAAAAAAGTAAATAAGATACATAGTAAGAGACAAACCTATATGCAGAAAGTGCAAGGAATTCACCTGCCACACAGATCTATCCCAATTGTGTTCTCCTTTGCTAACTCAACAGGGGGAGCAGCAGCAGATCATTTTGTGCCTTCACCCACATGGTGCTCACACGGGCCATCACTCCCATCGTTGGCATCCATTATAAATTCCCGAGAACTGCTAGGATGAGCTACTTTAACCAGAAACCTGAATTTACCCTGTTTGGTCTGAGGAACCTCAGGACTTGGTGTGGTTTTAGTTTTGGGACGTGGACGACGAGTTCGTTGTGATGTTTTAGGAGCTGAAGAAAGAAAACCTTCAGTTACTACAGAGTCCGTAGTTCAGAAGCTATGAGTAGCATGACACATGGTTTGAGATCTCTTAAAACTTACTAGATTTTCTCATATTTCAGGAAATATGTCTTTTTAACTTTTTAATTAGAAGCATTTACTATTATTTTAATAGTATGTCTCCTTTTACAATTAAAGAAAGTTTTTTTGGGAGAAAGTGTCATATTCTAAAATGAAATTGCTAATTTAAGAAGTGAACAATAGTCAATAGGACTCATCAAATAAAAAGGTTAAGAGTCACTGCTAAAATATCACAGTGCTGGTAGTCAGTTGTAAGTTCTTTCACAATTACTAAAACAAGACCACATAATTAACAAAAATGTCAATCAGAATATCACATAGATAGCAAAAATGAGTGAGTTAAGTAGAACTTTAGATTCATAAAGAAACTCTTTGGTACCACAATAATGTTAGAATCAAGAAAACTGCATTTAAAGTCACCTTTAACAAAAAAGTTGGTTAAAAAAACACACTGGATGACAAAATAATTTCAGATGGTTACATACCCAAAAGATAGCCTGAGTTAGGTTCATGCATGGCTCTTTTAAAAACAAAGGGTGATTTAAGAGTCAGTATTTTCAATACCTTTAGGATGAAGAATATGATGGAATGACAACAGAGAATGAGGATGTAGTCTTAAAAAGCATAAGAATCTGCGGCTATGATGATGGAATGGGTTTGACGATGAGAAGGAAGGACACTTAATGAGGACTGCAACGTGCTATTACCTTGTGTTGTCACCCAAGTCTCAGTTCTGAGTGTAACAGGTTTGAGCTCTGCAGTAGGAACTGACCAAAAGCATTAAAATTAACCAAATGATTATTTTAAATGAATGTAAACTCAAAACTTTTCTTCAAAAATGAGTCTTACTAGTATAATACAGCCTATAGAATTATATGGCAACCTTTAAAACTAAAAAAGTAGGCAGTTGATTTCCAGAAATTTGATACCTAAGACAGGTACCTAAGTCAGGTACCTATTTCTTTATTCCTCATTCTGGTTATCTAATTAATAATACAAAATGGACTATGTAGGTATTGCTAGGAATTCATCTTTGGAAAGAGACAGAGGTCTTAGCATGATGAATTGAGTAGGATATACCTCCATTCTGAGCAAAGAGAGAACATGCCCTCATGTGGAAAGAACAGCTTGCTGATGTCTACCAGATCAAATCCCAACTGCTCCATCAGGGACCTAGGCATCTCTGCCATGGGTATCCATGGTCCTAGTGAGATTCAGAAGGGATTTGCCTGTCATCTTGAAGACTTTTTTTTTTTTTTTTTTTTGAGATGGAGTTTTGCTCTGTTACCCAGGCTGGAGTGCAGTGACGTGATCTCAGCTCATTGCAACCTCCACCTCCTGGGGTTCAAGCAATTCTCTGCCTCAGCCTCCTGAGTAGCTAGGATTACAGGCACCCACCACCATGCCCAGCTAATTGTTGTATTTTTAGTAGAGACAGGGTTTCACCATCTTGGCCAGGCTGGTCTTGAACTCCTGACCTCATGATCCACCCACCTCGGCCTCCCAAAGTGCTAGGATTACAGGTGTGAGCCACTGTGCCCAGCAAAGTAAGACATCTTTTTATCAATTGTCCAGTTAGACTGTCTCCTCTGGTTGGTCTCTACTTGTGTGTCTTCCTTCTGATTTTATTCTTCCCACCCTTCTACTCATCCCTGTGTCTTGGTGATTTCAAGGCTCCATTTCTTCTTAATCTATATTTCCCTTCTCCAAATATTTACACACTAAGCATATCTTGTTGATAGCACTCCAAAACCAGTCTCATATTTGCACAGATACTGCCCCATACCATCTTTTACTTTATTTACAAAGGAAAGGCTTCTGTTCTCAACTGTCTCACAGGTTTGAGGATCAAAATGCATCTCTGACATCTGATGTATACCCCAAATGTGCTAATATGATTGGGAGGATATCTAAGGCACTTAATGTTTGTTGACTTGAGCTGAATATGTCTAATTTTTCTAAAGAAGTTTTATTTTTTAGAGATAAATGGAAGTTAATAAAATGCACAGTGCCAGAGAAGACTGCACAAAGGAAGCATGAGGCATTCAGTTGCTTCACAGATCTCCTAACAGTGTTTCTCTTACAGTTTCACAGTGGGATCTGCCGCTGACCATGAGTTGTAGCTTCCCTCTCACAGGGGCCTATTGGTTACTCCCAACCACTGGGATTACTCTTAAGACCATGCTGGCTTAGGCTGCAGGGACTCTTTAAACCAGGAACACATGGTTTACCTGGTTTGGATTCAGGTACTTCAGGACGTGGTGTGGTTTTTGTTCTGAGACGTGGACGACGTGTCCGTTGTGATGTTTTGGAAGCTGAAGGAAGAAGTTCTTGGGTTACTACATAACTACACTATCTATGATTCTAGAAGCTGTGCGGGGTAAAAAACATTACTTTCTACTGCTTGATAGGTGTTTGCCTTTTAGTCTGAGATTTTTGTCACATACATTCCTCCTTATAGATCTTTTATCATAGAAAGTTCCTTAAGACAAAAATCACTTTTTAATTTGAGAAATAAAGATTAGAAATTTTAATGAAAATCTCATAGGGTAGCTTTACTGGGTACCAAAAAGGTTAAGTACTATTGCCAAATTTTAACAGATAATGAAGGACAGTTCCACTAAATCTGAGATTTACAACTTAGTCTTTTAATTTTTGGCACATATTCTATAGAGCTATTAAAATCTGAATATATTGTGACCTTACTAGAGACAAAACAATAAATTTCTATGCAAATAGAAAAAAGGGTAGAAATTTAGGTGCAAAATGGGTCCTCTTTGCTTTATAAGAGTTAATAGCTTTATCTGTCCAGGTAGGAGTTAGAAACCCACTAACATGTTTGAAACACAGCTTTATCACAAACACTGTTTAAACAAAACACAGAATAACATGACAATTCAAGCAGGCCATATGGCAAATAAATGTCTTCCTGTAGATTCATGCATAACTGCTTCTCTTAAAAGCAACAGTTAAGAGTCTTCATAATTTTAAGAAGAGTTGAATGGCCATCAAGAATGACACTGTTGTCACATGAAACAAATTGAAACTCTAGGTTTGACAATAAGCAAAAGCAGCTTGTCGAAAACACTGTGTATCAACATTACCTAATGTTGTTGAGGCCTCAGGTCTAAGAGTGACAGGTTCTAGGACTGTAGCAGGAACTGACCAAAACAACATGTAAATCAAAGAGATTTTTAAACATATGAGAAGTCAGAATACTCACATGCAAACAAATTTTACTAGTATGTCAATTCTTCCGGAGAAACAAAGAAAAAAATTAACTTCTTAACTGAGGGGAAGAATGCGTGTTTGTTCATTGATGATTTGGCCAAACTATAGGCACGGGGAGTCCCAGGCTTAGCTTTTGAACTATGTTGAGAAGCTTAAAGAAGTCAACATGAAATTCTATTAGGTTTTTAACTAATGAATTGATATGAAAACTGGACTGGAAAACATTTTAATGCATTTATCTCACATATGCTTAGAAATTATCTTAAAAGATACAATTACTCTGTACTTCTGAACATGAGCACTTATGTATAAGTAAACATGGATAAAAGAGACAGTTCATATGTTTGAAACCGATATAAAAAATTAATCATTGAAGTGGACTATGTTCATCTTGCCAGGAACTCATCTATAGACAGAGTTTGAGATCTCTGTCCAAGCCATGACACTTACTAAGAGTACAGGGTGGTCACTCAACCTGCAATAACTGGTAGAGCATCTGTCTGCTGTCAGCCCAGAATAAAGGGAAATCAAAGGCTTTTGATGTCTCTGTATCAAATCTAAAGCTTCTGAATCAGGCCCTCAAAATCCTTCTTCATCTGGCTTGATGTACCCTTCCAAATGCACCATCATCAACAGTTACATATGACCATCTAGAAGGAATCCATCTAGACTGGACTGCCTTTCCAGCTGACTCAACACATGTGGTCCTTCTGCTCTAGTTCATTCTTCCCTCCATGCATCCAAATCCTCAGTGGGCCCAAGGTCCAAGTCCAGCCCACCTTGATCTTTTCTTTTGAGCTAAAACATAAAGATCATTACTTTATGTTTGTGTCAGCAAGCTTAGCTTCAACTCCACTCCTTCTGCAATAAAATAACTCTCCTACAGCTGACATATCACCCATGGTTGCCAGTGTGGGAATGGGAATATGCAAGGCACTTACAATTACATTTACTTGAACTGAATATGTTAGCTCTGCTAAAGAAGTTCTACTTTTAAGATGTGAATGGAATTTGACAGTAAGAAATATACTAACCATATAGTTTCAAAGAAAAGTCTCACATAGAAATAATAAGATATGCTGGCACCAGTTGGGTCTCAGCCACACATTATTCTCCTTGAAAGCTGAGCAGAGGCGATGGTACTGATGATGCCTCATGCCCTTGTGCTTAGGGAGAATAAGACCTGTTGCTGCTCAGCATTGGCACTGCTTCAGTCCCCACTGCCACAGGCTGCCAGGGATCACCCTTAAACCAAGGAATCACAGATTTACCGGGTTTGGTCTCAGGTGCCTGAGGGCTCGGTGTAGTTTTAGGTCTGGGACGTGGAGGGCGAGTTCTTTTTGTTGTTTTGGTAGCTGAAGGAAGAAAAAGCCTTGTGTTACTCTAGGTCTTAAGATTCTGGATACTGAGGAAAGGTTTTTCCAAAACTTGTCAGATCTCCTAAAGTTCCAGGAACTTTAGTTGTTTTCAGTTTTACTTTTTCATTCCTTTTATAACGATGTGTCATTTTATCATTGATGGTACTTTTCAGGCAAATTCATGTATACAGTCAAGTTGCTCACCCAAGGAGCGAAGATTAGCACTTGTATTGAGAAACTTACAGAACTTCCTCACTGGGAAAAAAAATGATTGGGGCAGAGTATTCAATGAGAAAGGATAGGAAGTTAGGGTCACATTAAGGAATAGGTTTATAATTTAAGATTTCAGACTTCAGTAATTCCCTAATTGTCAAACTAGTAATAAAACATATCATTACTTAAAGCACCAATAAGGAAAGAAACATACTGGGCATTTTTTTTTTTTAAATCTAGAAACTCAGATGTGCAAAGGAGAGTAAGAGTAGGCATTATTGCCAATCAGCTTAGATAAGAAATAGATCCCAATTTGTTTTAAACTCAATGTTAATATAGAACTCTGTTAAATGAAGCATAAGATGATATGACAATTTCAAATGTGCCACATGGCAGGTAAATATTTTGAGTTAAGCTCATGCCTGGCTCTCATAAAAACAACATGAAACTTGTTTTTAGGAGGCTTCAGTATTCTTCAGATGATAGAAATAGTTGAATGGTCACAGGCAGTGATGTTTGCTGTTTCACAGAGGAAGACATGCTATGTTATAGGGATGAAGACTGAATGGACTGTACAACAAGCAGCAAAAGCACTTGGCAAACAGCCAGGTAATGGCAGGGTTGTTACCTAAGGTTGTTGCAGGGATCTCAGTTCTAAAAGTAACAGGTTCGAGGTCTGTAACAGGAACTGAAGTAATAAAATAAACAAAAGAGATTGTAAAAAATGTGTGGGAGCTATAGTATTCACATCAAAATGTATCTTGCTTGTGTAACACTGCCTCTGGGATAATTAAACATTTCTGGGAAGGGCATTAGGACTGAATTACATTTCCACCCCCCAACCCCAACACACCAAATTCATAATGTTGAAGCCCTAATCCTCATAGTGAGGCCTTCAAAGGGATGATTCAGGTTAAATGAGGTCATAAGGGCGGGACTCTACTTCAACACGACTGATGGACGCATACGAAAAAGAGACATGAGCTGCACACACAGAGAAAAGGCTGTGTGGGGATACAGTGAGAAGGCGGCCATCTGCAAGACAAGGAGAGAGGCCTCAAGAGAAACCACGCTTGTAGATACATTGATCTTGGACTTACAACCTCCAGAGTTGTGAGAAATAGACTTCTGTTATTTAAGCCCCCTAATCTCTACTGCTTTGTAATGGCAGCCCTTTTTCAAATGGAAATTTTTTTTTTTGTCTAGACTTGGCCAAACTATACCAAGTACACCATCTCATGAGATGGTCATCATCTTCGGTCTCTCTTTAGCACTACATGAGGCAAAGAATTCCTCTAGTTATGGTGTTTATCTGAATATAATATGGAAGACTTTAGGAGGTTTTAAGGCATTTATTTAAATATGTTTCTAATAATTCTCAAGAAGCTCATGAAAAACTAATTTGCACTTTAGTGGATGCTGAAGAGAACATGTACTATATGTTTATCAAATTATGGTTGCAGAAAAATGGATGAAATATCCAAATGGTCATCACACAAATAACTAAAAATGACTGATGATCTTGCTGGGAACTCCACTTTGGAAAGAACTTTTCACTTCTGTCCAAACAATAGCACTGCAGTGGCTGGGTAAGGGGTGGCCACTCAGTCTGTGGCATCCAGTAAATCCCTGTCCACACTTAGCAGAGGGAAAACATGATCTAGTGTGGAAGAAAGATTTTTGATGCTCATGAGAACAATGTCAGGCTCAATGAGTGAGACATTCAAGCCCTCCTTCCACTTTCCACGGCGTCATCCAAATGCAGAATTACCAACAAAAATGTTTTGGCTGACCCTAGAAGCAGGATCTCTGCCTCTTCTGGTTGCCTCTATTTATATCCAATTTTTTCATCTTTGTTCATTCTCACCTTCCTATTTGTGCAAATTGTGATGTGACTTCAAGGCCCAAATTCTTTCCTGCCTCTGTTGACACCCAAATTCATTTTTTACTTTAAGACCCTATAATAACTCTAACACTTAACATTTGTATTCCCAAGAAAAATCTTTAATTTGCAAAAACATCCTGGCTTATTCTCATTCTCTAAGCTTTTCATGTGGGAAGTTTTTGTATTTAACTAGCCTGCAGACTGCGAAGTAAAACATGTCTCCTACTACAAAAACGGAAGATCCTGCAGGTCTCTTCTAAACTGACTCCTTGTCAACCATCGGGGGTAACAATCCTCTGGACTCCCTCACTAAGGGGTATGTGAACCTATTATTTCTATCAGTGACAGGCTCCTAAGCTCCATAAACCAAAGACCCTATATTTATCTGGTACAGTCTCAAGAGTAGCCATACACAGAGTGGTATTAAGTTTGTGCTGTGAGTGATATGTTCAATGGGAGGTTTTTGGAGATAGAAAAAGATAAACTTTAGTTATTTTAAACCTTATGCTTCTGCACATTGTAGGCTTAAAAAAATCTTTAGCTTTTCCAAAGCTTGGTAGATTTTCCTGAGCTTCAGAAAATATATTTTTCTAATGCAAAAATTTTGCTCCTACTATACTTTATCTTCTGTTATTTAAGATACTTCAATAACAAATTTGCAAACATGCAAATTTGACAGGTTAAATAAAGCTATTAATTCAGACACTTAGGATTAATATGCTTATCACATTCTAGAGTGCCCTGCCTGGATTAAAAAGGTTATAAATCATCCAGATTATGATGGAGACTAGGGGGAATTCAATTTATACTAAGGATGGGGTTTATTATTTAAATCTACTAGCCTTGATCACGTTATCTGTTAGATAATTCACTAAAAATATTACTCATACATTAACAAAATAACAAAAATAACAGGCAGATTAAAAAGGTAGATGTTTGGGAATGGTTGTAAAATGGGATAAAAAAGCCAAAATATAAACCCCAAAAAAGGAAAAAAAATAAAGAGGGAGGTGTATAAGGGATGTATAAAGAAACTTCTGTGTTACAGCCTGGTTAGCATAGATCAGGTCAGAACTTCATGAGAATATATGAAATCTCCCTTAATAGAGAGCTCCGGTTAAGCCAAAACCAAAATGATACGATAAACATTTCAAGTTATAGAGCAGGAAAGATCCCAAACTAGATTCAGACATAGCTCTCTTATGAGCAAGAGGCAACTTGTTTCATGCATGTTCAACCGTTACAAAATCAAAAATGTAATTGAATGGCAATATAAAGTGGAATAAGCTGGACAGTGAGCAGAACAAGCACTTGCTGAAGATCAGAAAGCAGCATTACCGAATGTTGTCCCTGGAGCCTCTTTTATAGGAGAAACTGGTTCAAAGATTGTAGCAGGAACTGGCCAATAAAAAAAAACAAAAAACAATAAAAACTCAGAACATTCAAAAAAATTTTTACCAGGTCATGATGTATCTGTCCAGAGCACAAAGCAAACACAATCAGCCTCCTGAGCCCAGAGAAAGAGGCACCTGTGTCCTTGAGTACCAATTCATCTCTTAGGAGGAACGGTCATTTACTTTGTAGTCAGGTAATTCAGATAATGGTCCATGTGAAGTGTCCCAGGAGTTTTTCTCATTCTTTAGTGATCTGAACCTAACTAATAGAGCACAGTAGACCATACGCATTTTGCTGAAAACTCATCTTTGGAACAAGACCACGAGCTTTGTCCAACATGAGTACTTAAGAGGACAAGAAGAGGGCCAGCCCCTCAGTCTGTGGTATACAGCTGGGGAACACCCAGAGAAAGCCCGACTGCACAGGGATGCAGATGATTCCTACATAAAATCCAAACTCCTCAGGCCAGCGTTCAAGACCCCTTCTTACTTAGCTGCAGACACCTCAATGAAATGTTCTCATCAACACCTAGAAGCCTGACAGCCTCTGGCAGTCAGAGAAACTGCCTCCTCAGGCTTGTTTCCATACATTCCCTGCCTTTCTGAATTTCTCCATTACTCTTCCCCCAGAATGATTTTCCCCTGAGAATGATTTTTCTGTTTTTAAGTGGTTGTAAAAAAAGAGGAAGAAAATACTACAGGGACTATACGGCCCAGAAAGCCTAGGAAATTTACTATCTGGCTCTGTCTAGAAAATGTTTGCCAACTCCTGCCTTAGATCCTTATTTGTGACTTACATGACTAGTTACCAAGAAATAATCTCCCACCTGCATGAACATATGCTCCTTCTCTAGCTGTTTCACTTTATCATACATTCAATGTTGAAGGGATGAAGGGAATTGAATGAGAAGTGAATTAAATAGACATTGAGATGGAAGCATAAGGAATTTGGCTACCACATCATCTCCCCAGCCCGGTTCCTCATTGCCTGGTCTGATGTGGAACTAGCTGCTGACCCTGCCTGGCTACTTCATTCTCTTTGCGTCCCACTGGGGTGGGCTGCTAGGATTCCTCAAGCATGACCTACAAATTTACCCAGTTCAGTCTGAAGCTCTTCGGGACTCAGTGTGGTTTTAGGTTTGGGATGTGGACGACGAGTTCGTTGAGGCACTTTGGGAGCTAAAGGAAGAAAACTTCAGGTTAATACAATGTGTTTGGTTCCAGAAGCTGTGGATAAGATTATATTTGTTATAATTTCTTGACTTCCAAGAAATGTTTCTTCTGGGTTTGAAATATTTGCCCCTATTTCAATAAGCTGTCTCTTTTTATCATGTAGCTTTTTCTGAAGAACAAAAACCACATAGAAATATAAGTTTACTGATGATATTTCAAGGAGCTTCTCACAGGGATTCCTGAATGAAAAACAAGTTCTAAAACCTTGCTGAGTTATGGCAGTGATGAAGGCAGATATAGGGTGATTTTATATTTGTGATGGTGCTTATAATTTAAATTTACCAGCCTTGGGCATATTTTACTCTTTACTTGGGAAAATTTTACTCTTTACTGAAACAAGAACACATCCTTACCCCGAATGCCAAAAAAAAAAAAAAAAAAAAAAAAAATCATTATCATGCAGACAGTAAAAATGCAGAAATTTAGATCTGCAAGAGCACTATGTCACACTGTAATAGCTATGCCGATTTACTTAGCCTAGATCAGGGACAGACACCTTCACCCCCAGCCTCCAGTGATTATATTTGAAACTCAGTAACAAAGAATGTGGTTAAAATGTTATGTGGGAGCAAGATGTGGGGAATTCAAAGTCATCACATTGCAGATATATAAACCGACCATAAGTTCATGCTTGGCTATCTTACCAACAAGAAATTGTTTTAATACTCTTACATCTATTAAGAAGTAATTGAATGATAGAGGATGACACAGAAGCCTTGTGAAGTGAGAGAAGCTGTGGTTATGATGGTGATGAATAGGTTGGAAATGAGCAGGAGAGGCAGATGTTGATGGACATAACGTGCCATTACCTACTGTTGTCCCTGGAGCCTCAGTTCTAAGAACTGGTTCGAGGATTGTGGCAGGAACTGATCAAAAGTAATAAAAGAAACCAAAGAGATTTTGTGAATGCATGAAATGTCAGAACATTCATCTTACCACTAAACATCAGATTTCTAAGGCTGCAAAATTAATTCTTAATATCGTAACTCAAAAGAAAGTGGATGCATTTTTTTTCCCTTTGAATATTTCTCCAAACTGTAATCAAGTACTCATTTGACTCAGAAGATAGTCAGCAATAGCCTTTGGATTTTGCTGAGCATCTCACTGAGGTCAACAGTAAGATCTTCTGGTTGGTTAACCATCTGATTCTAATGAACACTAGAAAATCTGGTTAGCCATTTTCTTAGAAAACGATATGGTGAAGACTAGCACTTTCGTGGAAGCCAAAAAACCAAAAAGCACTCATTATAAGCAGTAATCAATAATGACAGATAGAACATTTACATTTGAAAGCAAACACAGTGTAGCAGAGAGTCCCTATGGTGATCCCCAGTGGTTTCTATCTCTGGTGTTAACATCTTTGTCATCTCTTCCCCTTGAGTATGTGCTGGATCCCTGACAACTTTTTAACCAATAAACTAAGGCAAAGGTGATGGGTGTCACTCTGTTGAATAGGTGCATGTGCTGGGAGTGTGTCTGCCATGCTAGCACAAGGGAGAGACAGGGAGGGAGAGACAGACAGGGAGGGAGAAAGGGAGAGGATGGATTGTATAAAGGTGTTAACCCCAGGAGCAGGGAATCATTGGGAGGTTGCCCTAGAGTTTGTGCACCACACATACTAACAGCCAAAAGGAAGCTGAGACTATACTCATTAAGAGACTAAGTCTGTAGTAAACACAGCTGTACTTAAGTAGCTGAAAAACCAACTCTCAGTTTTTGGTATCATTGGGCTGGGTACCTTCAGTTCTAAGAACAGAAAAAGCATGATCCTGTGCAGAAGTAGGAATCATTGAAGCCCCCTAGATCAAATTTAAGCTCTTGAGTAGACATCCCAGCCCCCTTTAATTCATCACTAAACAGGAGGGTATCAATGAGTTATCCCCTGTCTGGTGAGCCAGCTTCAACACATTCCCTGCTTAACAGCCTCTGTTCCCTCATCCCTCTACTCATCCAGTTTCTATGCTGGTTTCTAATTATCCTGGACATTTTCCTCCTCTAAATATTTGCCATGCTTCTAGGAGGTGGCATTTATACCATACAAGAAATTATATTTGCATAAACATGCTGCCTCATATTCGTTTCTAACTGGTTATGCATGAAGAGCTTTTGTTTACAACTACAGTGTAAACTGGGAAAGAAAACATTCTTCCCACTTCTGATGTATGGACTAATATGGCTTTGGGGAATTAGAAGGGACTTAATAAAAGTAGTTGATTTAAATGATTGTGCACTGGCTCAATACTGAGCAGCTTTATCTTGAAGACAGGAATGAAATAAAAGAGCAAGAAGAGTAAATAATCAACAGAGAAGATCCCTACAAAGGAAGCAAGAGGTGCTAAGCTATTCATGTTCTCCTCACTAACCAGTAGCTTTTACTCTGAAGAGATACATAGGGCATGACACAATAGATTATGTGTACACAGAACTTACAGTCTGAATCGTGGTAGACTGCTTGGATTCTATAAAACAGAAACTACATATTTACCCAGTTTAGTCTGAGGTACTTCTGGATGGGGCGTGGTTTTAGGTTTGGGATGTGGACGACGGGTTCTTTTTGTTGTTGTTGGAGCTGAAGGAAGAAAATTTAGGATTAATATGGTGCTGATGGCTCCATTCACTGTGAATAGGATGACATAACTCTACGTTTTAAAATACTTGTTAGAGTTTGAGTTGAGAGAACTTTGTCACTTTGGTTTGAAATTTTCTCCCTCAGATTGTTAATAGGTTTTCTTTGATAATTGAAAGTTCTTCAGAGATAAGAATTATACATATAATTATGTTTAAGAAAGAAACATTAGAAACTATCATTATTTTCTCGAAAGTGTCCCTAATCCAAATCACTGCTTAACTCTGAATGGTGTGAGAAAGGTTCTAACCAACCCTACACTATTCACTTATAATTTAAGATAACTGGGGCAAATTTTCCACTTGGTAATTTACTAGACTAAGCATATAAAATTCACAGGAACATCAATAAAGCAAAAAAAATTATATAGAACTTGAAAAACAGAAAGGTGCATAAAGAAACTGCATAATATCATCATTTGATACTGTGTTGCTGCTCTAAATAAGGAATATATGGGGAATTGTAGTTGGATCTTGGCTCTAAGAGTATAGTTCAGAGACTCAGACGTGACACAATTTCAAACTGGGCTATGGAGCAGATAGCTGTCTTGAATTAAGTCCTTGCATATTTCTGTTAAAAAGAAAGCTTTCCATATTTTAAGATGAATACTGTAATGAGATGACAACAAAAGATGGTACCATTGCCTATACAGCACCATAGCGAAATCTGACAATGAGTAAGAAAAAGCACTTGCTGAAGGACATAGAGAGTCATTACCTGAAGATGTCCCAGGAGTAATAGGTCCAAAGTCTGTAGCAAGAAATGATCAAAAGCAATTTTAAACAGAAATAAATGTTAAACACACGAGAAAAGCCACCATTCTCTTGAAAAGTGAACTTTACCATTATAGCATTGGTTCTATAGCCACAAAGCAAACATTTTGAAGTTCTCAAGTGAGGGTACGTATTTATTTGCTTTTATGAAACAGATATAACCTCAGCATCTGTAACATGGTTAGCTACCAGTTTTTCTTATTTTTATATTATCTGATAATACAGTAGAAAACCCTGCTTAGAAAAATCTTACAATATCTAATAATGTTATGTTTAAAAATTAGGAAAAACTAATGTGAAAGTATAGTTACACTATAAACTGGAAAATAAAGCCCTAGTTCGTGATGATGCAATTACTGATATGTTTAAGCAGATACAGTGATGAGTGATTAAAATAGATAATGCTCTTCTGTGTTGAGCGTGCACCTTAGAAAAAGACCAAGACTTCTATTCAAACAAAGGCATACAAAGAGCCAGATATAGAGGGTCATTCAGTCCATCAAACTTAGTGCATCTCTCTGTTATCAGCACAGAAAAGGCCTGACCCCTAGGTTAGGAGAGCATGCTGGAGCCAATTGGCTCAAACCCAATCATCGAAGTCAGGCATTCGAAGTGCTCTTTGTAGACCCGTCAAAAGCAGCATTACTGTCCAACTAAAAAAACTTTGCCTTTCTTACAATCAGGTTGCACTTACAGTTCCTATCCTTCCAATGTCACCCTCATACGACACCTTCCTGCCTCTGTTTATATGATTCCTACCCATCCACCAATAAATCTATAGGGTCTACAAATTTCAAGGTCCACAAGATGAGCTCTTGCTCTGCTGCCCGGGCTAGAGTGCAAGGGTGCAATTATAGCAACTGCAGTCTCCACTTCCTGGGCTCAAGAGATCCTCCCACCTCAGTCACCCAAGTAGTTAGGACTACAGGTGCACGTACCTGGCTAATTTTTCTTAAATTTTTTGTAGAAATGGAGTTCTCCTTAAAGGTTCACATTACACTTATCAGCCCACAGATGTTTTGCTTTTCTAAGAATTAACGATGTGCTTAACAGTTGGTAAAATTTAATAAATATTTGCTTTTCCTCACACTCCTGTATATCTATTATGAAGAGTCTCACACAAGAGCAGCTTCTTTTAACTCAGGTAAGTCATTTTTTTTTTTTTTCTAAAATATTCCTCACAGATGCAAATGTTCAAAATGTGTGACAGGTTGAACTAAATATGCTAACTAGACACCTAATCAGGTCAATTTTTGCTGAGCTGAGGAATCAAAGAGAAAAATGTAATGGAATGTCAGAGAAGCAAATAAAATATGCAGGCCATCATTCTCTTGAAAAGTGAACTTTACCATGATAGCATTGGTTGCAAATAAAATATGCAGGCACCAAGGAGGTCCTCACACAAGTAGCATGAGAAGTCACAGGTATTGCCAGAGCACTGTGTGGTAGCAGCTGCTTTCCATGACTTGGGCCTTCACCCCAAGGGTCAAGTGGGTTATAAGGTGGCATGTGAAACTGCCACCCCCATGCCACATCCAATGGGATGCCACAGGGACAAAGAACCACATATTATTTACCTAGTTTGGTCTGCGGTGTCTCTGGGCGTGGCGTGGTTTTATGTTTGGGACGTGGACGACGTGTTCTTGTTCGTTGCGATGTTTTTGGAGCTGAAGAAAGGAAACTGGTTATTGTAGCCTTATGACTCCAGAAACCAAACAAAGGATTACACATGGTTTTCTAAAGGTTTTCTAAAGTTTTCCTAAGTCTTGAGAAATTTGTCTCTTTGGTTTAGCATTTTCTTCTGATCATCTATATGCAAAAATATGTATTTTTGGTCTACTGACAGGTCTTTTGAGACAGATGGAATATACGTAATTAAAAAAAATAAACTGCAACTTTATTATTAGTTGCTGGTATAGGATTTTCGAAGAGGGCCCAGAGCCAAGGGAAGTCAGACATAGGCACGTAGACATCACATCAGAGAGGGACCCAGGCCCACCTGCTTTTGGGAGAGTGTACTAAGAAATTACCTGGCTCAGACACACATTCCATTAAAAGTTATTAGTATAAGCACATTTCGTTTTCTAAAATAGTTGGTAGATAATAAAAATTTTCTGTATATCTTAAAACAACAGAAAGTAAGATGCCCACAGAATTATAATTGATATTTATCAGGCAGCCATTCCTAATTGTATTTGAAATTCAGCTTTAACATAGAACAGCACTGGAGCAGAATCACAGGCTCTGTCAAGCATTAAAGCTGGATAATATGGGAAAAATGGGACACAGACGCTGTTCACTAGTGGCGTATGGGCTTATAACCAAGTAACTTGTTTTAAGCACTTTCAATACATTCAAAATGAAGAATATAGTTCAATGACAAGAGGATGATGAGAAAATCTTATGAAAGAAAAACCCTTAGCCCAAATAGTGATGGAATAGACTAGACAATGAGCAGAAAAAACTCAAAGACAGAAGAGGTCATTACCTAATGTTGTCACTGGAGCCTCAGTTCTCACAGTTACAGGCTCAATGTCTGTGGTGGGAACTAACCAAAAGCAATACAATAAACAATGGAGATTAAGAAATATAGAAAAAGAAAATTAGTTTGAAAATGAATCTTCTTAACCCTTTAATGTTTTAAATGCATTTTCTGAACTCTGGGAAAATACTATTTGTTTTCCCCTAACTAGCCATACTGTCATATCCATTTATTTCACAAAATATCCATACCCTTTGCATCCCTATAAGGGCAATGAAAAATATTTTTCTGTATTTCATTATCTGATTCCAACAACATAAAAAACCTGGACCCAAGAAAATCTTAGTTGTCCAATATACGATTTTAAAGTACTCTAAAAATTTGTTATCAAAGCTTCCATTGGTATTTAAAAAGTTTTCACCACCATTATTAATTTGCTTTGAGAGTGGTAGTTGTGAGGAGAATTAGAAAAATCTTCTCAGTCTATTTACTGGAGATCTGTGAGAGTTATGCAAAAGTCTTGTACCTTTTATTTGTGATAAATGTGATATTGCTTCTTACTCTGCCTCCTTATTCATTTATTTCAAATGGCTAATTAGGAGATAATTATTCAAGTAGAAAACAGAGATAATTAAGAAAAAGGTCTAAAAGGTAATGATACAACTTTTATGTCTAGATAAAAAGGATTTCTATAACATTCTGAAATTGATTATACATAGATATAAAATTAATCAAGAATTGTAACTCTCTGGTATTAGCATCTCCATTTATCTTCCACTAAACCCAGAAGGCTAAATGTAACATTCAAACATCTCATCCTCAAAAAACTCTTTAGGCATTTATAGAGAGGCTGACTTTCCCTTACTGCTCAAGACATCATAGCAGAAAGTTGGTTTACGCCACCGCTGAGAGCATCTTCAGAACCAAAGGCATATATAACAGAAGAGATGGAGGAAGCCAGGACAACAGGATGACAACAATATTTATGACTAATTGCCTTCAAACAAAACAGAGAATCCTTATTTTGTTTGGAATTTTGCATCACAAGATGAATTTAGCAACAGAAAGATCAATTTGCATATGAATAACGTGGAACAGGAAGAAGGGACTTTTGCGAGAAAGAGACAGTTATGTACCATCACGAGCTCCTTATAAACACATTGAGGACAAACTCCAGCCAGCTTTTTCACTGCTCCCCTCCCACATCCATAAATTGCACCCACACAGAAGCAGAGGTTTCAAAAAATTTTCTGGTTTGAAGAATGAATATAGACAGAGTGACTGTAACTCAAGCAATCTGAATGTCTTTGAAGGTGATTGTAGAAAAAATAACAATTACGTGTTACAAGCTGAGCAGCAGATGGAAGCATGCCTAATGATGTTAAAAAGGCCCCTGCTGAAAATAGTAAACAATCTTTAAAAACGAAAAAAAATGGTGAATGACAATTGTGCATACTGTAGCTAATGAAAAAAGAGATGAGAGGGGCAAGTTCAGAGAAACATTGTCCAAGAAGGAAGAAAGCATCATTACCTATGGTCATCGAGGGAGCTTCCGTTTCAAATGCAACAGGCTCAGAGACTGCATCATAAAAAATAAACAGATATAAGCAACAAAAGCAAGGAAGTCTAAACTTTTGGGTGCTCACTGGTGTTTAATTCAGAGGACAGAGAACCTAGTTCATTCTAAGTTAATACAAATTGCCTTCTTGATAGGTTAATTTATCATGTGAGATGCTTCTTAGCAAATTAAAATTTTATACTAATTGGAATCTTGGGAGAAACTTTCAACTTCAAAACAGTTGGATTCTGAGAACTGTAATATAAATATCTTCTTATATGGTAGGAAATTACTCAGTTAATAGTTACTGTTTAAATGTTGGCCGGGCACACTGGCTCATGCCTGTAATCCCAGCACTTTGGGAGACCGAGGCGGGTGGATCACCTGAGGTCAGGAGTTTGAGACCAGCCTGGCCAACATGGTGAAACCCCATCTCTACTAAAAATACAAAAATTAGCCGGGTGTGGTGGCAGGCGCCTGTAGTCCCAGCTACTGAGGAGGCTTAGGCAGGAGAATTGCTTGAAGCTGGGAGGCAGAGGTTTCAGTGAGCCGGTTGTACCACTGCACTCCAACCTGTGTGACAGAGTGAGACTCCATCTCTAAATAAATAAACAGAATAAAATAAAATGTCAATAGAGTATTTTCGAGGAAGCTAATCCCTGATTAGCAAGTCTTCTTTTGAGTTGTGCCTATAAAGGAAGAACAGTGTCAGCCTTCCATGTGTATTAACACTGCTTACTAGAATCACCTTCAAAAATGTTTCAGATACAGAAAACTCAGGCTTCTGTTCATTACAAATTCAGAAAATAGGCCTAAAAAAGCTTTAAGAAAATGAAATGCCAGTCAATCAGGTATAAAATTTACTAATTTCCTACATATTGACTTGTTCATTTAGCACTTAAAACATCAGCGTGGCTACTTGGAGAAGATAATGAACAAAATTATGGTATTTGGGTTTCTATGATTTATATGATATGACAGATTGTAAACATTTTCAGCGATGTTTCCAAAGAAAATCCTGTTAAGCTAAAGCACTGGAAATTGTGTTTACCGGATTTAGTTGGTGGCATGTCTGGTTCTGCTGTGGTTTGGGGTTTAGGAAGTAATTGTTTTGGTGGTTTTGAACCTGAAGAAAATTAGAGTGCCATAATTAGTGTTACAGCTGAGCTGTGAATGTGAGGATTAATGTTACTTACACATTGTTTTCCTATTTATAAGATCAAGGCATTGAAAGTAATGATTACCAGGCTGAATTTGAGGTGCATCTGGTCTGGGTGTGGTTTTAGGTCTCTCAGATGGTTTTGAGGCTAAAGAAAAAGGTACTACAATTAGCAAAATGGGTCATGGCTGTGACTGTCAAAATTAAGGACAAGTATGCAGAACAAAGACATTACAAATTCAGTGAATTTATAAAAATTTCTGGGGTGTGGGAAGGGTGAAAAGGGTGTCTATTTTAACTACACACTAGCATAATTAGTTTTTTCAGAAAGGAAAAATAATCACTAAATGCTCAAACTGTGTTTTTGAGCAAAAGTAACGAGGACTGTCATAAGACGTTTTTTCTATACAAATAATTTCAAAATAGACAAAGTATATTAGTTCCACGTCTTTGATCAAAAGGTTTTCTTCAGTATACAAACAGTAAGGTAGAAATCTGATTTCTTAGGAGGCGATCTGGAAGTAATCCATAAACATTTGAAATTACACATGAGAAATAATGTTACATGGCTGCTGATGTCTGGGATTTTCCAAAGGAAAGTCGTGATAGATTTTGAAACTATAATGAAATGATTATAATCAAACAGTTTTAGTACTAAAAACAGTAAAACCAGCCTGGGCCTTTCAATGCTGTCAACTTCCAAAGACCATCACTAGTTTTACACTGGACTCCAATCAAGAACGATCTTCGTGCCTCTAGTGATCCAAACCTACTCAAAAACATTTTTCAAAGAAACAGAAAAGCCGAAGAAGCCATATTTTCATGCAGCTTTTTAAAAAGAAGAAAGTCTTAGAAGTTGAACCAGCAAAGCAATGAAATGCTGACCATGGCACTGGAGTAACATTTTGCTATTTGTTCAGTTCAGGATGAGCACAGAGGTCCCTGTCTGAGAAAGAGTTGACGGTTTTCTCAACCCCACGAAACATATAGGGCAGACAGAAGGTCAGCAGAGAACCAGGAAGTTGTGTCCAAGACCACAGACCTTCCCTAAATGAGCACACTGGATTGTTTTAGAACTCTCCTATCTTTAGGATCTTCAGACCCAGACAGGAGAGGTGAGGAAAAGCATGGGATGAAATTGTGATGAGGTGGTGGAACTGCGGTCATGCCTGTAATGGAGAGTGAAGAAAGCAAAAGCTACAACCCGTGAAAGAAGCTGGGGTGGAGGGAGTAGAATTACCAGTTGTGGGCACCAAGGGCTCCGGTTGTATCGTGGCAGGTTCCAGAGCTACAGAAGCAAACACCAAAAACATGAAATATTTCAAGAAGTGGCATCTTGAGGAGGGAGACATTATGCCTCAAACTGGGACACTCTATCTAAATGATGCATTTTTTCTGAATGTGATTTTCCCTTTTACATTTCCCATTTTCCTTTCTCCTTCTTGCTTTCCCACACCTCATCTGCCATGAATGTATAAGATTTCAAAGTGCCTTACTTTAATAATTCACTTAATGGGTCAGTTTTCTGCTGTGTGTACCTAATAAGCATGACTGTGAATATAAACATATTATATGAAATATTACATATATAAAATGAATATAGAAAGTGAGTACAGATGCTCAGTCATAAAAGTCAATTCCACTGGTTCACTAAAGCCCAGCTGCTCAAGTAGCTGATATCAAACCAGAAGCTGCCATATTCCACTTTCTATGTTAATTGGAACCCGAATATCACATTTACCCGGTTTGGACTTGGGCACTTCTGGACTAGGTGTGGTTTTAGGGCGGGGACGGGGGCGGGGGCGACGACCTGGTCTTTTGGTCTTTCGTGGTGCTGAAGAAAAGAAAATTAGCAAGTTAATACAAGAAGGGTGGATTTACAAACTGATGATAAATATTACATCCATCTTAGAAGGACATTTAAACCCTTTGATTTACTGTGGACATATTTCCATCTGTTTTACAAATTTCTATCATTATTTACATAGTTAAATGAGGTCTTGAATAATTTTTTGTCAAAGATTAACAATTAATGTCCAAGAGATCTCTCTGTTCTTTCATTTTGAGATGGAAAATCTCAAAACTTTGTACAGCTTAGAGAAGATAGTCACTCAAAAATATTGAAGGCATACGTTCAATAGGAACATGAGAAAGGTTGCTTTTATAAAGCCATTTGGGATAAAAATTAAAACTTGGCCTAAGATGTAAATGGAGAAATTTTTCATTTAAAATATCCACAAATCAACAAATCCACAAATCAACAATATATGCAGAAGGCTTTGAATTCAGTCATTATTTCAAGAAAGGCAACTTTTAAAAAATGAGAGTTTATAAACGATATCTATAGGATTTACTTTTTTTCTGAAGAACAGCGCACTCACACACACAAATGGACATTAACGTATTAATTCATTAATGTGAGTCTGTCAACTCAGATACCAGCAGTCAGGAAAAGAGGAAACGAAGGTCACCCACTCAGTAACTCTATTACCTAATGTTGTTGTTGAAGGTTTGGTTTCCAGTGTTTCAGGTCCTAAGACAATGTGAAAAAATCACCAAGAATCAAGGTCAAAGGAAAAATGACATGTATTTAAAACATGGAATATGCTTAATTTTTAATTACTAGGTTGAGCAAATATAAATGGTGAAACTTTTATCCACATACGAAGTTTCTTTTCCACTTCAATAAATTCCTGTGTTTTCGACAAAGCGAACAAAAAAATGTAGCCAGTCAGTTAAGTTTGGAAAGAGAAATGGAACAAAAAGGCATGATTCTCATTTGGAATATGTGACTGTAATAAAGTAACCAGCAGTTCATGTTATGAAGGAAAATATGGGTAATTGGCTAAGATGGCACCAGAACACTTTTTTTTTTTCTCTCTCTCTTTTGAAGAAAAGGAAGCTATAAAGATTGGGGTTGGTTTTTTATTTCTCTCTCTGAGTGGATTTCCTAGTGACACATCAGGGTATTTAGATCTGGAAAGACCGTGGCACTTTTCAAGAAAATCTGCAAAAGTTAGAGTTCCGACAGTAAGAAAAACACCTCCAAAAGAGCAAACATAAATACGTCCTATGAAATTCAGGGTCCTCCCTGGCAATAAACAGGTTAGAACAAGTTCAGGGCGTATTCCTCAAATGTAATTGAAGGAGAATAAAGAATGTATCAAATTAAAATTAGCATTGCTTTCACGGGTGTCTCAGAACCACTGCTAAGTCAAGCACAGGCTGAGAGTATATCTCCGGGCAAAAATGGCTGGTAAAAGATCTGAAGGAAAATTAAGAAATATTAGGCTGGGCACGGTGGCTCATGCCTGTAATCCCAGCACTTTGAGAGGCTGAGCTGGGTAGATCATCTGAGGTCAGGAGTTCGAGACCAGCCTGGCCAACATGGCAAAACCCCCATCTCTACTAAAAATATAAAAAATTAGCCGGGTATAGTGGCTCAGGCCTGTAACCCCAGCCACTTGGGAGGCTGAGGCAGGAGAATTGCTTGAACCTGGGAGGCAGAGGTTGCAGTAAGCTGAGATCACGCCACTGCACTCCAGCCTGGGCAACAAAACAAGAGCGAAACTTCATCTGGAGAAGAAAAAAACAAAAAAACAAAAACCCCAAAGTTGAACATGGAGAGTGTTAAAGATATTTGTTTTCAGTCATTTAAAAAAGCTTTATTACCTATTGTTGACTGTGATGGCAGTAGAGTCTGGGGTTCTGGGACTGCAATAAAAGCAAGTAACATCAAAAGCGATGCTGAAGAGCACCATCTAAGACAGAAGTCACACGTTCTTTACTATAAACAGTGTTCTCTCCTGGGTGAATGACTAAGTTCTACTGGCTTATGCCAGTGAAGTTCAACCTTCCACATCCTCTCTACAAACCACAAGAATTGAGAATTCTCATTTTTGTTGTTGATCTTTAGTTGTTACTGTCACTTCCCAATATTCTGGTTTGCCTCTGGTGCTGAGGAAATACTAACTTAGAGGGAATTCTGGGTAGCCTCTCTGAGGTTGTTCAGAGTGTCCTGTCACCTGCTATTTGTTTCTTGCAGGACAGCCAGGTTCATTCGAGGAAATGGAAAAGGCAACAGATTAACCACTGGTACTGTGTCTGTGCTGTTAGTTTGCAATCTCCAGCATGGCTGGACCTGACGTTCTCTCACAAAAAAGATAAGAATTAAACTTACTGTTCAAAAGCGACCACAAGTGTTCATATGATGCCCCCTGTATTCACTAGTATCTATTGCTGGTAGACAAATTGGTTCACATATGAAATTCAACCCATTTGGATTGGTAAATCAATGAGTCCAAAAGCAGTTTCAGATTTCATAAAATGCTAAATTAAATAACAGTATCTAAATACTCTGATAAACTTTTCAATGTTTATTCAAACTAGCAATAAGTAAATTAAACTTCACGCTGAATTTAGTTTGGTTACATATTTGGGCTTAAAAATAAGATGACCCAATAGGTTTCTTATTATTCTATAAACAAAAAGAATTGTTTAACAAGGAGAAATTTAAAAAGGAATTATTTTTGGAAATAAAAAGTTAAGACTCTTTTTTCTTAAAGAAAGAAACTAATCAATATGGCACTCATAGATCATCTTAATAGAGCTGAAATTCTTCTTCTACTTATACATTTCTAGTATTAGACTTATCAGGAATGATCTCTGATATTACTTGAAAAGGGAGTATGGCAGGTTTTCAGAATATGTAGTGACTAAAAAAGAACTATAACAATAGTTTCTATGTAGCAACTAACAACAATTGCTTCTATGTATCAACTAGTTTTAGCAATGGAAACATATAATAATGCAGGCAGATAATTTTTATTTCTTCTAAAAGAAATGCATAATAGCATAAAGGGCTATTTAAAGGCATTATCATCCATTAACATATCTGTGATCAAAAAATTTTTGTGTTGAGGCTAAAGAGTACCAATTAGGTGCGAAAGAAGCAGGTTAAAGTTGTTTTTAAAAGCCCAGAATTCTGATTTCTCAAGAACGTGTGCAGAAATAGACTGCAACAGATGAATGGCAAAAGCAGTAGTGATGTGTCAGACTGAAGTTCATATAACAAAGTAAAATTCTGAGTGTGTGTGAGTGAGTCTGTATGAGAGAAGAGAGAAGGGAGGAGGAAGGGTGTGTGTATGTGAGAGGGAGGGAGGGATGGTGAGAGGGAGGGAGGGATGGAGAGAGGGAGGGAGGGATGGAGAGAGGGAGGGAGAGATGGAAAGAGGGAGGGAGAGGATGTGTGTGGGTGTGACAGAGAGAGTGAGGGAAGTGGAGAAGAAAGAGTATGTGGGAGAAGGAGAGAGAGACAGTGTGTATGTGAAAGAGTGTGAGAAAGAGAAACGGAATTGTATGTGTGTATGTGTAAGAGTGTGTGTATAGGTCTAGATATCAGATGCTATAGGACAAGAAGAAAATAAACATCAATACATGAAATATAATAAATATCAAATAAGCATTCATACCCAAAGATAGCAAACAAAAATTTTGAAACTTCAAGATTGTAATTCATGTTTTTGATTGTATGAAGTTGCCTTCCACAAGTGTGAATAAAATTTGCTACTCATTGCATCTTTTAGATTTCACAAAAATTAAAGAATGTTGTTTTTAAAATTATAAGGAAAAATCTGCATTTTTGAGTTCCTGAGTTTGAGACCAAATAGGGATAGAACTCCATCAATTAAGCTTCAAAGTCAATTGCACATAAAAACAGTAAAGGTCTATGTTTAGTAAAAATAAATATATCTTCTGATACGACTTTCTTCTATTTGACAATCATAAGGTATTATGGGTAAAGGTATAAAGTGTTCCAACAAAGCTGAGTGGTCTGTAAATGACTAAGCCACTCATCTCAGCACAAAACAAAGACAAATTTGAGTAACATATGTGGCTAGGAATGAGAACAATGAACAATTCTATCCACTTGGAAGACAGTTAAGTGAAACAAACACCTGTAATTGGGGGCACTCCCTTATTTTCAGTCCATTTAGAAGCTTAAAGATTAAACCACGAAGGAAACAATTCCCACTGGACGAGGTAGACAAGTTAGATATGGTAGGTGGCTATGGTTTTTGAGAAATGCACTGAATTGTACTTATAAAACAAGCCCAAATCAATGTGGATTTTTACTCGTTGATTTAACCAGCAAGCAAAGCCAAGGGAAAAGGAGCCTGTAATGGAAAGTGAAACAGAAAAATAGAAGAGTGTGTGGAGAGGGCTGGGAGAGGCCTCAAAAAGCTTTGGGTGGTTTATTTGCTCTTCCGAACCTTGCCTCGAAACAGACATCTTTAGGACAGCTATAAAGGTGGTCTGCCCTAAATAAAGATAAATATAATTTAAGAAGCTAAAACCAAAGCAATGGTTTGCGGAGATCCAGTCATCATCCTGTGTTGCTATGGACCATTCAGGGTCCACTTGAGTTGGCACAGGCCTAGGTGTGGATTCTGAAGTCATTACATTGCTGTTAGAGGAAAAGGGGTGGATTTTCTTTGATGATTAAGAAATCAAAGGAATGTAAACACATTAGCCTCCAAGTAATTCTTCCCATTTTAAAAGGAAATGTCAAATTAAGAAGTCTTTTAGCTCAAACACCTTACAATGATAAAAATGTAACCTTCCTCCCTCATTTGTATTAAAGAATTTCCTCTCAGAAATCTTTTCTTAGAAACTGCTGAAATGAATAACGTAACCTGTCATATATCAACTGTAAATAATGTTTGGAGAAATTTTTTGACGATTTCCAATTTTATGTTGTAATAACAGAAATAATTACTTTGAGAGAAATCCTTATTTAAATTTGGTGACTCAAACAAACAGTACTATTTTATGATCTCCTTGGTAATAGTCCTCTGTTCAAAATATAGCATAGTTACTACTTTATCCCAAAGCTCTCTAAGCACGTTTTTTAAATAAGTATGTATTAAACCCTTCTCTCATACAGCTGTCAGAGTTATTTGATTTAAACCACTATTAAGGCTTTTGAGTTTTATTAGCTACGCTTCTTTCTCCGAAAAACCTGAGTGAGGTTTTTCATTCCATTTCTCTGACTTGGAGACCTCATCCATGGTCACAGTGTCAACTACACTCCCTTTGCCTAATCCCTAATTTCCTTCAGGCTGCATCTACACCTGGAAATCTCACTGCTTCGTTACAGGGAGTAATGAGAATTCTTTCTTTAAGCAGTTACATTTTTCTTCCTTAGCCATTTCATTGCAAAAATAAGTCATGCCCACTTTAGCAGAAAATCTCTTGCTTTAACAATCCTACTTTGTAAACATGCCATTAATGAAAATGCAAGTTCCAAATCCATTAAACATTATAGTGAGAAATCTTTTCTTCCTAGAGCTAAGGGTTTAAAATTTAGATAATGATGACACTGAGTGGTGACAGGGTTCCCTGTAGTCAATCTTATAAGTCAGCATTTAAGACTGCTACACGGATTACAGATAGATTAAAAAAACGCCAAGATTTAGTCATCCAATATGTTCCACAATCTTTATGTCTTAAATTATTATATATGTAGAATGATCCCCTCCTGCCAAAGGAGATTTTTTTTTTTTTAAAGGAAAACACTACTAAAAATTCCTAAGAGGTAAACAGAGGTCAGTGTTCAGAAATCAGCTCCAATGTAGAAGTCTTGGAGCATTAGGGAAATACAGGTCTTTCTGGTCTTCTAGCCTGAGAACTGAGTAACTCTAAAATAACGCAGAGTTCTTAGAAGACAGAAACACTTCTCCCCTTTCCAGCTGAAAGGCTATTGTTTATGTGATTAGAATTCCAGTCAACATTGGTATTGGAAACTATTTTGCCATACTAGACAAGGGAGTTCTTGATCATTCACATCATTACATTTCTGTGTTTTCTCTGTGATGCTCACGAACATTGCTCGGAGCAATGCTATGATATCAAGTGGCTATTTATGATTAGATCATTTCATTGCATGCTTACACTTTTCATGGAAAAAATGTAACAAATATCAAAATACAAATCAGAAATTCTTGCTCCAAAGAATTGCATAAAACTTGTTTTCAACCCCACTTTTGGAATATTCAAAAAAGTTTAGGGTAATTACCAGGTTTGGTGTGTGTCACTTCTGGGCTGAGAGGGATTTTAGGTTTCAAAGAAATAAATTGTGTTTTACTGGGAGCTGGAAAAATAAAGAAACAAAATAATAAATCAATATTTAGGCATTTTTCAGTGTCTAAAAGCACAGAAGGAAAACCTAGAAATAAACTATACATTAAGTGGAATGAACCATTGTCTTGGAAGATTTTGGAAATACTCCATTAAAAGAATATTTCATGATCCATTCCCAGAGAAGTAATTTTCACTTTGTTTAGAAAAAACATTTCAGGAGTATATTTAGCTAACAAATATAGCATTGCTACTAAATAGTCACAATAACTATTCAAAGTAAAGATAGTTGTTTAATCTATGATTTTAAAAAAAATCAGTCTAATTATTTTGCACCCTTACTTCATATTTCTCAATCACATCTAAGTCTGACCAGTAGGGAGAAAAAGCCACCATGTTTTACAATTGATATTCACCGACGTACGTGCGGGATGTGCAGGTTTGTTACATAGGTAAACTTGTGCCATGGTGGTTTGCTACACCTACCAACCCCTCATCTAGGTATTAAGACCAGCTATATTTTTTATCAGCTTTATGAAATCAAAAGGAAAAAATCTAAAATCATTCAAACCAGTAGCTGATATGCATGTCTTTTGAAGATGCAACAATAAATTTAAACTTCCTGCATACAATTTTAAGGTGGTGTTTTTCTTTTTCTCCTAACATTTCCAGAATCTGTCACTTTGAGCCTGTCTACCTAAACACATTTTAATAATAAAAAAAACTACTCTAAAAAAAAAATTCACCAACAGGTATAATGCTATGATCTGAAGCATAAAGTAATTCTACTAACATTACAATTAAAAGTTGTTTTTCCAAATGAAGTCTCAAGTTAAACTTGAGAGTCTTACTAAAAAATAAAAGAAAAAGAGAACTGTATACAAGATTCAACTTCAAATACAATGACTGGATAGATGACAAGGAAGCAGCAATGGTTCAAAGGCTGGCACAGAATGACATCTGACGGCTGAGTTCAGATCTACGAACTGTCGGGCCAGCTAGCCACAACCACAATAGCCATGGAGTTGGTGCACTCTCTGAGATGGGCCACACTGTTCAAATGAGCCATTCTGAATCTCTTAATAGCTAACAGACATTACATAAAAGCTGGGGTACTGGATTTTCGATGGTGAAATGAAGCAATACGTCTACTAAGGACATATCATTATTACCCGGTGTTGTCCATGTAGGTTCAGGGCTTTTAGAAATTTTAGGTGTAATTGTTCCAGCACTTGTGGTTCTTTCTGGTGATGGAAAGGAAAAAAATATTGAAATATCCTAGAGACAATAAAAAGATATCTTCTAAAGAGGAACTAAATGACCCATTTAAAATCCTGCCATATTTAGTAGTCAAAGTATACAATGAGTAAAAGTTTTGAGGAAGAATTTTTAACTGTCACAGCAGTATACATCATACAAAATTACATTTATCTTATAATGGAATAAGCAAAGCCCAGTCGGTAAAGCATGATTCTGAGTATATTGTTTGACAATGAAGAATTGACCTCCAGGGTCAATAAGCATCTGTACCACCCAAACTCTGTGCTATAATACATGTTATTCCCTTCTCCTTTTCTTCTAAATCCTACATGTATTTTGGGGTCTGCATCTTCAACTCTTTCTTTCTTGGAGCACTTACACAAATATTATAGTCTCAGAAATAAGTTATGTAAACGTATGTTGTGCTGTCATTTTTATGTTTTATCTTCTCAAAGTTATAATCTATTTGAAAACCAAAGTCATGTCCTCTCTAACTCAGCCATTGCCCTGGTGAAAAATTGGAAACAGAGTAGGTACTAAAAAAAAAAATAAGAACCATCACCCTAATGAACATTATAATAAACATGCACACCAAAAAACAAATTACATGTATCACCCTGTATTGCTATGAGTTGGACTTGTTTCTAGGTTTTTACCAAAATTCACATGCAAAAAGATAATTATCAGTAACCCCCTTTTGGAGACATCTGAGTTTTGTTATTTTGCATCATTAATTATTCATCTTTGTTAATCTCAAATTTTGTAAAGAAACTAACCTATAAAATATATCCTTTTTTTTTCTTGAGATAGGGTTTTGTTCTGTTGCCCAGGCTTGAGTGCAGTGGTGCCATTATAGCCCACTGCAGCCTCAGACATCTGGGCTCAAGCAGTACACCATGCCTGGCTAATTTTTTAAATGTTTTTGCTCAGGCTGGTCTCAAACTCCTGGCCTCAAGTAATCTTCCTGCCTTGGCCTCCCAAAATGCTGGAGTTGCAGGTGTGAGCCACTGCACCTGGCTGTCCTTCTTACTATAAGAAGATGGACATCGTCTATCTGGCATTACATATCACACAAGGATAAAGAGACATTTACCAGGTTTGGTTCTTGGCGGTTTGGGCCGGGGGCGTCGTTTAGGTGTAGAAGGGATAGATGTAGTTTGCTGGGGAGCTGAAAGAAGATTTAATATAGTTTTGATACATGATATTTTTCAGGGGTCAATCAGGTTGTACCTGTAAATTTGCAAAACTCAAGTGCAAGAACTGCTTTATATTTCCTTGTATCCCTAGAATGCCCAGTACACCTTGTTTTATACATAGTTGGTGCTCAAAACAAGCAGTGACTGAGACAAAAGGTATAAAATTTCTACATGAGAATTGAAGATATACATTGTTCAGTTCAATGTGCCAGAAGTGAGCATCCTTGAGGCATTTCAGAACACAAGGTACAATTAAGAACTCAAAAGGATGACATTGAATAGCAGGAGAGAAGCACAAATAATGGAAATTTGGAACCACTTTTTTGTTGTTGAGACAGAGTCTCACTCTGTTGCCCAGGCTGGAGTCCGTGGTGCAACCTTGGCTCACTGTAACCTCAGTTTCCCAAGTTCAAGCAATTCTTGTGCCTCGGTCTCCTGAGTAGCTGGGACTATAGGCGTGCACCACCACGCCCAGCTAATTTTTGTATTTTTACTAGAGATGGCGTTTCACCATGTTGGCCATGCCAGTCTTGAACTCCTGTAATCTGCCTGCCTTGACTTCCCAAAGTGCTGGGAGGTGTGAGGCACCACATCCGGCCCAGACACCACACCTGTAGGTGTGAGGCACCACATCCGGTCCAGAACTTTAATTCTGTAGCTCTTTACTATCCCCACCAAGAGTTAATGAACTTTGCTATTTCAATAATTTTCCATTATAAAATGTAGGTTGTGCTACCTCTCTTTACCCATCTTTCTTCAACTTGTCCAGGACTGCAAAGCCTACTGGGTGCTCCCTATACTTAGACTACTTTGGGTAAAATACTTTGATCAAATGGTACCTAGGTGTGCTAAGTATAAGGAATGTATTTTGAAATAATTATCTATTATTCTGCTGCTATTTTCCAGCTGGCAAAGTTGAAAGAAGAGTTGGAAGGAAACAATTCCTCAAAATATATAGACATCAGGATTGTGAAAATTCTTTAAGGACAATCGTAAGGCTAAGTATGATAGATAAGTCAGATTCTTTGAAGAATTTCATGGTAGAGACTGGAGGGAAATATTTAGCAAAAACAAACAAAAGAAAAACAAAATTCTGAAATGACCAACATGACTTGTCACATTACCTGTTTCATCAATGCATATAACTACATAAATGTCATTAGTTACCAGCTGTTGTAGGCTGCATTTCTGGACTGGTAAAGATTTCCAGTTTCTGAGGAACAAATGGTGTTTCTCTTGGAGCTGAAAGCACAAACACCCCATCCCATCGAATAATCCCAGTTAAAATGAGGTATTGGAAGAATTTTAACATGCTTTTAGATGGTATAAAGCACATGCCACAAGTACATGATTAAAGATGAAAAATGCATGTAGTCTTGAAAGCTAGTGAATACAATTCTGATTGAAAGTAGGGAAAATGCTGGAATGATGCTTGTTCAGTAGGTGACTTCAGGCAGACTTGATGCATGGAAGTAAAGTGACACAGGCCACAAACATGTGAGGTGAGATGGTGCAGGTGATGACGTCCATGCAGTTTTCAAAGCTTTCACAACTAAAAGGATAGGGAAAATATTATCTATTACAGCTCAAAAAAAATAAAATAGGGCCCTAAATGGAACATAAAAGATGACTGTATTTAAAAATATAGAGATGTGTATATTAAGAAATAGGATAGACAAATGATTAGATGTGATGGAATGAAATGGTCATTTGGAAGAAAGGCATTCACATGAATTTTTTTGATGGAAAATAAAGTATGATTTTTCTGTTAAAAACATTACCCAGTGTTGCCCTTGGCTGTTCAAGAGTTCTAGAAGTTTTAGGTGGGACAGAATCCAGAATACGATCACTTGTTGCTGTTGGAATAAATGTCAACATTTATAAAAGCAGTAGAAGGCCCCAGGAATAAAATACAAATTCATGAGTAATAAATTATGCCTCATATGAGGGAAAACATCAAGAATACTTGAGGGATTGCTGGCCCACATTTTAAAACTAGTGATACATTAGGAGTTGAAGATGAGCTCACTTTAAAAAACATACATACTTTAAATATTAGAAACCATGATTAAACAGTGTTTTGTATATTCAACTGGTTTTCAATGGGTTTTTCTGGTTTCCTCCATTTTGTTTCATACATGCTAACTGAACCCACCGCTGACATTCTATTTCATTGTTTCATTTTCTGCTCTTTAAACTTATTCATCTTTATTTAGCATGACACAAATAATGTTATACATCCAAAAATATCAGACATATATCTATACCTGGCAGAAACCAGTCTTACTCCCTTTGAATCTCCTACAGTACCCAGTTTAGTAGATGTTTGATAAACATTTGCTGAAAGGAGCTGTCGGACTGAGGTAGCTCACTATAGATGGGTCAGTAATATTGATGCCAAATATTAGACCCAATTGAACTGCTACAGTCAAATGAATTATGTGACTGTTCTACAGCAAGATTTCTCACGCTAGCACTATTGACAATTAGGGTCAAATAATCTGTGCTGTGGGAGGCTACCCCATGTACTGTAGGGGTTCAGCAGCACCCCCGATCTCTACCCACTAGATGCTAGTAGTGCTTTCCCAAGTTGTGACAGCCAAAAATGTCTCAACATTAGCAAATATGCTGGGGAAGGGATGGGAGTAGAAAATTACCCCCCATTTGAGAACTACTGCTCTAGACAAAACCCTCTATCAACTCAAAGACCTTTTTATGACGATTCTGAACAATACAGTGATAAGCTACTACCTTACTTTTCCTCAGTGGCAACCAAATCTCTCTGCATCTCCCTTATGTGACGGAGCTTATTTACTGAGAGATGTCAAGAACTAATCACTCTATGGGAGGAGTGGGTAAAACACATCTCCCTGACACAGGTGGAAATTTCTCCCATGCAGATCTCCAGAGGGCACAGTTTTCCACTCTGCGAAAAACTAAAGGAAGAACCACCAAGTGTTGGAACACCTGGGATCCAAAGACAGAATTGAGAGGCCGGGTATACCTGTGTAGGACTCTGATATCTCAGGCTCATCTGATGTTGTAGGGCTTGAGAAAACATCGTAAGTTGCTTAAAAAAAAAAAAAAGGCAAAACAAGAGAGGTTAGTTTTGGTTAAATTTGATTAATTTAGAAAGATTGCAAGACATGTTGTAATGCTGGTTGAAGGACAGTTTTATGTAGGTGCTGGTGCCTTTTGGCTCCAGGCTGCCAGCCTTGTCACTAACATGTAAGCAATCACCGAAACTCATCACGCAGGATTTCATATAGTGAGGCCTGATGCTGGCCTCCAGGGTGATGAGAACATCGTACTATATATTTATAATTATGCAGTGCCAGCTGTAAATCAAAGAGCTGCAAAGAGTATAAACATAAATAAAGTCAGATGGCAGTTTGGGGAGAGATTTCTAAAGAAGGAAACAGCAGTCCCATTGAGGTGATTTGCCCAAAGTCTTAGGCTTTCTAGACTAAGCAACAGTAAAAGTTTAGTAAAAGTTACTGTTATGATATCTTATGTTTGGACAGCACTTCACAGTTTGCAGAGACTTTCTCATACATCAACTTATTGAACCCTCTTAACATCCCTGAGAAAGAGGTGAGGTAGGCAGTAGCCCCACTTTATAGATAATGAGAGGTTATCTCCATTCTCTAGACAATGAAGTTGAGGTTTACAGCATGAAGACATCTGCCAGTGGTCACACACTGAAATTGTCCTATCCAGTGTATTCTCCTCTCCTTCAGCAGGACCAGGAACAGCAGGGCTAAAACCAGGATTCTCTTTTGACGCCATCCCCTCCTGACATGTTACCTAGAGGCAGCTTTCTGTACTTCTCCATGGAGCCATGAGCCTTTCCTGAGTTTGGGCGGGTTTAAAGATAAATTTTCTATTCTATATGAGGGAAAGTAGGATGAGCTTAAACATAAAGATTGAATTATTTTAATATGGGGACAATTTTCATGTTCACGTAAGAGTTGAACCTGCAAGCAAAAACAGCATAACAAAGTGTTCTCTTTCACATACAAAGAGCTGTTACTATGGTCACGAGGCATATAGAGAACGCATGAATTATTATGAGGTAGATGTTGCTTTTCTTGCTCATTCAAAATGGCGGCACAGAAATCAAGAAAAAGGGAGTTCACAGGAAGACACAGTCATTGGGGTTACTTGTAATTCATTGGCAATTTAATGATTTTGAACCACTGCTGGTTGAAGCTGTAAGAAAGATAATATCAGACCACGTGACATCCTCTGAAAGTAGACAGCATTTATATTGTGCTACATACTAAAGAGGCAGGAAACATTGCAATGTGTGAAGATGAATCTACTGTTTCACAAAATCCCCAAAAATAGCAAGAATATTGTGAGTTAAAAATATGCACACATTCTGAGAATGCATCTGTTATACTGTAATGTCAAGTTTCTTTAGCCTTGCTGTAATTTTAAAAGGTCAGATACGAATGACTAAGTTTTTTAAAGATCAAAAATGCCAGTAATTTCTCACATGCTTACTTTCAGCCAATTTCAAGTCATGGATCTAGCAAGACTAGCTCTATCGCCTACAAAATCATAAAAACTTTGCCAACTTGTATTTAATCCTCTCACGCTAGGTAAGAAAATATGAGTTAATGGCTTATTTATTTCTATTGTTGCTTTTGAAAAATGTTATGACTGTCTTTGTTATCCTAACTCCTAAAGCTCCCTTCCATCTAGTGACATTGGACCAATTTTCCTACAGTTTGTATTTATGATATTTACTCAATTTTTTAACTTATTTTTCATATTTACAATTTCTTTTTAATCAGGAGGCTCCAAGCCAGGCATCCATCTCCCCTTGTTATTCCCATAAGGCACTTACTGGGGAAAGAAGCCCTTTTTCCATCATCCCCTGGCAATCGTGGCTCAAATGGGGAAGTTCCCAATTTTCAGGGATCCCTTAACTTCTAAACATTTTATCAAATACACTTAAGACAAAAATAAGACATTTGCCAGCACACTTTGTTTTTAATATTTCTATTTCTGTAGTTTCCAAGAGTAGGAAAGAAAAAGAGTGCTAAAAAGGCACATATGCCACTAAAAGTTTTATGTTGTTTCGTCAGCTTTAAGCAGCATACCACACCTCATTTCATTTATGAGTTAAACAAGATCTTTTGATTCAGAAGTAAAGAGATTGCCTGGGCGTGGTGGCTCATGTCTGTAATCCAAACACTTTGGGAGAGGCCGAGGTGGGTAAATCTCTTGAGGTCAGGAGTTCGAGACCAGCCTGACCAGGAGAGTGAAACCCCGTCTCCACTTAAAAAAAAAATACAAAAATTAGCCAGGCTTGGGGTGGCGAGTACCTGTGGTCCCAGCTACTCAGGATATCTTGAGAATATCTTGAACCTGGGAGGCAGAGGCTGCAGTGAGCCAAGATCACGCCACTGCACTGCAGCCTGCACGACAGCAAATCCATCTCAATAACAACAAAAGAGTAAAGAGATGCCAGGGGGAGAGTACAGTGTTGAAATAGAGGTCTTTGAAAAGCTCTCTAAAAATCAACAGCTCTTGATTTCTTTATAAAACCCTTCTATATACATGCCTATACCTGAGAAAAATTCATGAAATTGTTAGGCCTGGTTTCTATAAGCTACACTAGCTATAAAATTGATAAGTAGTCAAGTGTTAAGGGTGAACCTTTCTGTATGGTAGCCTGTAAATTGCCATGCATTATTACTTAAAGGCAAACTTCTATCACTATGCTTATCGTAGTGGGTGAAATGCTACAGCTATATGACATTAAGCAGTATTCCTGATTTTGCATTCACAGAACATACATGGGACCAAAAGTTGTAGGTTAAATCTAATGTAACAAAATAGATAATTCAATTCACAGGTTATAAAA